CGGCAGTAGTTGTGTTGCAGAAGCCTGGTCGGACATGGCCTTGTCGTGGAAAGTCCACGTGTCGGGGACGACGATGAAGATATAGTCTTGGTCGAAAGCCGGGGCATGTTTCATGATCTGGTGATCCAGTAAGCCGGCGATTTTGCCCGTACAGGTGAAGAGAGTGTTCGACTGGAACTGGCTGTCGCGCCTCTCGGTCATCTTCTTGCATAGGGAGGTCAAGGATTAGCGTGAATGGGGAAGATGACGAAAACTTGGAAGGGTGAAAGCCCTTGAAGGGGTTTGCCGGGAATCCCAGGACAAATAAAGGTGGAGAGCTGGACAAAGCCGCAGCAGCTCAGCTGGGTGTCGTCAGGGCCGCAGCCGAGTTTCCATGCAGGAGGTCGCGGCCGGAGCCGATGACAGGTCCCGTGAAGGAGACAATGGGTTGTATCGTTGGAAAGTATCCACCGAGCTGAGGTGCGGTGACAATTCTATGGATATCGTCAGGGAGGGCAGTGGCGACAGAGATTTGGAGCATAGACTCACGGTTGGTAGCTGTGATCGCGGACTATAAGCGCGGGGACGGTGTATTCTGTGATGTTATCATCGTCCGACTCAAGCCATCACGTCGCTCGATTTCCCACGTCAGGGCAAAGGATGAACACGGCCGACCATGAAGAACCATTGCTCGGTCCATTCCGAGAGATTATCTGTTGGTTGTATATGGAAATATTAAGGCTGAAGAAGATGCAGGTCGATGGATTGCCAGTATCTGACCGGATTGCTGCATACTCCGGTCGACAGCCATGAGGGCGTGGGAAGGAAGACCCTCGCTAGGGTTTCTGCGTTGAGCCCTTTGACACGATGCTCATTCTGGTAGGCGAACCTAGCCGGGCAGCCGGGCTGGACAAAGGCCATCATGGACATGTCGGCGCCAGCATTTTCTGGCTGTCAAGAGGTTGCCGCGGGAGGACGAGGTATCGACGTTGAGCTGGGAGGCCGACATCGTGAGAACATGGCAGATGTAGTCACCGTGGAAGTGTAAATGAGGGTTACGCAGAGTGGAGGTGGGCATCCTATAAAGCAGGTTTTCTTGCTGCTCGAAAGAGGGCTCGCGGCTAGGTCGGGAGACTTAAGAGTCAGAGAATGCTACCTAGGTGATAGATCAGAAGCGGGGGTATGCGGGAATGAGCTGGCGAGGTTCTTGAACAGTCTCGACCATCTGGTTCTATGGTCGTGAGTGAAGTAGGGAGCCGGGGGTTGGAAGTTGAGTAGGGGTGATGGCTATGTCGCGAGAAGTTGGAGGTCGGCGAACAGTAAGGTTAGTGTGGGTAAGTCTGCGGAGAAAGAAAGCAGTACCCTTCGGTGTCATCGTTGCATGGAGTAGATAGCAAAGGCGACAATAACGAATGAGAGTGAAGGAAAGAAAGAGGTTATGGTAGTATTGCAGGGTCCCGACGGTCGTCGGTAGTTGGATGGGCATTGCGTGCGGCTGAGCGAGGCGGGTGCCGACCGTGTCGAGTCCACTATTGGGACACGGTGAAGTCGGATATGGGGACGACCTGAGGAGGAGGATGCGAGTTGGTCACGAGAACTCTCCAGAGGGTTTGCAAGTCGAGACTCCGGTGGCTAGCGACTACAAGAGGACAGGCAGGGGATCCTGGCTGTCGCTTTATGAAGGCCGTTGATGCGACGTTGGTGGTGGCGAGGAGCAAACCTAGCCAGGTAGTCCGGTTGCACGAGGACACCGTGGACATGTTATCGCCGGCAGCCTTTTGGCTGTTGCTCGACGAGGTGGAGTGGCAGATATTGATGGAGCAACTGATGCGCAAGGTGGGTGGGACGGCGTTGGAAGGGCCGGAAGTATGGTTGGAAGTGTGCGGCGGGCGGTTGGCGCGGCCACCCCATGTGCCGGAGGTCGGCAGTAGCCAGGATTCGCTGGAGTGCGCAAAGAGAGCACGGCGATGGAAGGGCCGCCTTTGGCAAAGCTGGGGTAGCAGGTCGCACGTGGAGACCAGCCGAGCCGGGACGTGGACACATAGGGAGGGTAAATGGGGGATTACAAAGGGTAGTAGTATTGCATCGCTTCGGTACCATAGGCAAGCATTATAAGGAAAGAAACGGCCATGAGTAGTGATCGTTGGAAGCTTCCACTCGGAAAGAAATAGTGTACGCCAAGAAGCGAGATTATCCAGTGGAAGTGCTCGGAGCCAAAACTTTCTAGCCTGTTGCCAATCCACGCTAGTCGACGTCGAGGAGGCAGTAGCATGGCGGACAGTCCTGCAGGAAGCTAGGCGAGGCGGCCGCTCACCGTGGAGCCTGTTCGTTGTCAGTCGAGGATGGAGAGAGGGTAGGAACGGGAGTGCCTGTTTCGGGGTGCGGAGATGATACAGGGCAACTCCGAGAAGGGCACGGAGCACGGGAGACAAGGTTGGGGCGGTTCGGGAGATACAGATCAGTGGCGAATGAAGCATTAACGTTCCGGCTGATTCAGCCTAAGCAGTCTGCGGTCGAAGAAACCGCATGGAGAAAGCATGCAGAGGCGATCGCAAAGTCACTGCCGAGAAGACCGCCGCGAGGCGGTTTGCGGTCAAGCAGAGCACGGAAGTCCCGTAATTTGGTCAGCAGCGGAAATTCCGCGCAACGTCAGTCACCGAGTCCGCTTCCGAGGTTCGTGTTGCCTACAGAACGTGGAGACCAGGGGGCAGTGGGCTCTAACAGTCCGCCCCTTCATCGGCCGTTTTGCCCCAGGAGAGGGTCCTGAAGGTGACGGGCAGGAGATAAGGCGGCGACCGGCGGTGTCCCGGGTGTTCGTTCGAAAGGGACCGACGCTCCGACCTATCCAGCCCAAGGATACGACTTTCCAAGACCTAAGACGAACGGCGCAATTTGCAGCATCGATTGCATGGGGTTTGCCCAAGCTCCGTCGGGGACCGGTTCGGCGGCCGGGCACAGGTGGGTGTGGACGATGGCGCAGCAGAGGCAGCGGACGGCTCGCTGCGCGGACAGAGGCAGTCCCGGAGGCGGGAGAAGAGAGCCCGTCTTCCTAGCCGGGATGGGCGCCCGATAAAACAGGTCGAAGTGGAATCGGAAGGCATAGGAGACGGGAGCTGCAGGCCGAAGACCTGGCGAGTGTGCTGCGCTTTTTGGAGGAAGACTTTGCCTTGAAGGAGAGATTGTCTAACGATCAGACGTGGTGCACGCCAATACCGCTCGAGAGGAAGGTGTCGACGGTGCGAGACTTCTATCAGGCGTTCCACGATGCGAGCACGTTGCCGATACGGACCTGCATGGTGTGCTGCAAGTGTACGAGAGGAGAGTTGAGGAGATTACATGGGATCATTGGCTGTCAAGTTGCGTACCAAAGGGCGGCCGCTCACCATTTTCATGCCGGAGTTGCTTTCCTGAGGCGAGTCCGTGTCGGTGTGCGCCGAGTGTGGCCGATGCCTGGCGCGCAGGAGCCTGTCGCCGGCGATCCACCTTCACAGTCGCCTTGGCTGCGAGCACATGTTCCCCGATGAGCTCAAGGGACTGACGCCGGTCGAAGCTCATCTCGCTGAACTCATGTTACGGGTTTGTCACGAGATATAGCATTCCGGGCGGGCAGAGGCAGAGCGTGAAGTATCCGAGGCATGTCAGGGCCACATCACGGTGTTTCCGAACAATGTGCAGGAGCTGGCCACAAAGTGCTCCGCACCCCTTTGCAAGCACTGGACGAGATCCACATCTCGTGGCAGGGCGCGGAGAAGCGGCACCGAGCGACCTGTCGAGTCTCTTGTCGGTGAGGCGGCGGGTGGTCGAGAGGGCCCTTGTCTGGCTGAAGCGGAACAACCCCACTACGCCGAGATCGAGATCGACGCGGCGGAGATGGAGAGCTGGGAGACTCGATACACGGGGTACCGTCGTCGGTGTGCGATCGTATGGAGCGGAACGAGCCGTCTGGGTGGAGAAAGCGCGGACGGCGCACGTTGCCGCCCACGGAACGCGCCATGGACGAGGGCCGGTGGAGATCGAGGAGCTCTTCGCCCTGCTCAACCAAGGACAAGCCGGCGGCCAGGGTGAAGGTCACGGGCCCAACGGAGAAGGCGCGGTTCGCGATGGAAGTGACGCCTGCCGACCAGAACGATCCAGCGATCAACGAGGTGACGTCTTCTGGCATGTTCGCGCTCGACGGACCGCCAGACGTCGCGGACGTGGAGAAGCTGCAGTTGGCCTGTGACGCTGTTGGTGAAGGTGCCGACGACGGCCGTGCGGGCCGAGCGTGGGTCGGGTCCTAGCCGGGGTTCGGGGCGTGGCGACGGTGGTTGTGAGCCATACATCCGGGTTTCGCGGGGTGAGTTTACCGATTCCTTTGAGGCGTCCTTCTTTGCCAGGACGTTCCCGACCCTGTTCCCATTTGGCGTTGGGGGACCAAGGCTGGTTGAAGAGACCATGGTCGACGCGGGGAAGGTCACGGCCAACTTGCGAGGCAGGGCTGTCGAGGCAGAGGCGGCCGCGGAGACCCTATCGTCTCGAAGCGAACCTTCAGGCGTGGGCCGAGATCGTGCTCCGGCGCCATGGTGGTCGATTTGCACTGCACCACATCTTCGCATTTCTCGTCTTCAACATGGGGTGCGGTCGAGGAACCGCCGGGTCAGCATGTTGAGTGTGGGAAGAACTTCCGCAAGGTAGAGCGCATCGTGCGTTCGATGACCACAGAAAGGCTAGCGGCGGCGAGGGTCGAGTTGGAGCTCGGGTAAGACGACCGATGGTGACGTGAAGGAGCTTCTCAGGAGCCTCGCTTTACGGCCACCGGCAGCCATGTCGAGAGGTCCGTCTCAATATGCGGCGGAAAATCCAGTCGCTCATCGTCGGATATGGCGTGCCGGCCATCTGGTTCACCATCAACCCGAACGACATTACGAACCCGGTGAAGCTGCGACTGGCGGCACCGCACACGCGATCCCGACGCGGCCGAGGAGTTCTTAGAAGGCCTTGGGGATGCGTATAAGCGGGCACGGCTGGCGATATCGGATCCCATGAGCTCGGCCGTGTTCTTCCACCGCGAGATGAAGCTGTTCTTCGATCATTACGTGAAGGTCGGTGAAGAGTCGGTATTCGGGCGCATCGGCAAGTACTATGGCGCCGTGGAGACGAACGAACGAGGGCGCTTCATGTTCACGGCTTGCTCTGGCTGCACGGAACGCGCATCTCAGCTCGATGCTTGCCGACATCCACGGGAGGATCAGGCGGCGTATCGCGAGCGAATCGTCCGATACATCGATAGCGTCTTCTCAGAGGTAAGAATGCCTACCTAAGATGTGCCACCGGGGCCTGAAGTACTCTTCTGATGGCCAAGTGGGGCCGGGTTGACGTGCAAGGCAGGATCTGGACCAGGAAAGTTTTGCGCCGTGCAAGCGGGCGATCTGTGACGGGCGGTATTGGTTCCCTGCTGGACAACGCCGCGCAGTTCTCGGCCGCGTTTATCGAGGAGGCCAACTTCTGTGCCGGCGCGACGCAGGTGCACACGCATAGCCCGACCTGTGTGAAGTACTCCTTGGGCAAAGGAGGGCGGAAGGGACCTCTGCCGGTTCAAGGCGCCATGGAGGTTAGTCGACAAGACCGCCCTCACGGCAGACGGGGTGCTGCAGATCCGGAGGACACAGCATGGTCAATCGATGGAACGAGGCTATTGCTGTCGGGCTCCGGCACAACCATGATATTTCCTTCATTGCGACGCAGCGCAAGACAATGGCCCTCATCTATTATGTCACGAACTACGCGACCAAGGTGGAGGACCCGGTGTGGAAGCGTGTGGCGGCCGCGGCCGAGCTCCTGGCCGCCTCAACAGGTGATGGCACGGCCAACGGAGGGCGGGACGGTGGCGGAGACGCTGCCACCGATGACCCTGTCAAGGGAACAGGACGCGACAGTTCCTGATGAGTGGCGAACCGCGTGTTCACGGAGCGTCCGCTATCACAGGTCGAGGTCGTCGCTCACCTTCTCGGATATCCGGCCGAGTTCACCGACAGCAGCGCGTGGGCGTACCTGAACTGTTCTCTGCTGTACTGGGAAGTCTTTCGGCGATGGCGGCATCTCCGAGCCAGTGGCGCTGCGGCTACGGATGACACCTTGGATGAGTCGGTCGTCGTCGAAGAAGAAGGCCTGAGAATCTCCCGTCGAGGCGTACCAGCACCGGGAGAGCTGCTGAAAGGCCTATGCCTGTATGACTACATATCGATCGTCAGACTGAAACGCATCGGCAACGACGAGGCTGGGCGGCTTGGGAGATGTCTTTCGAGGATGGATGGGCGCCGGGACGACGCTGGGTTCAGGTGCTCAGGCGGCCGGGCAAGCGCTACCGCCTGCCTCGACGGCTACCTGAGCAAGGACTTCACCTACGATGACGAGTCGTGCTACCGGAGGTGTGTATGGCAACTGCTCTGTCAGCGGGCATTATCGGAGGCTAACCCACCCCTGAAGGGCAGCCGTGCAGCATCTTGCGCTGTTCGTGCCGTGGGAGTCCTTCCTGGGCGAAGGAACAGGTGAGATCAACAGCATCTGGGCGCGGGCTCGAGACGCTGGCCCCGAGAATATCACGTCTCGTCGACAACGTGCAGCTGCTTCGACGATCCGCCGAAGACGCAAAACGCGACGCCAAGCAATGGGCAGCCTCGTCCGGCGATGGCGACCCGACGGTCGCACGTCGAGGAGGTGGAGCAGGCGAGGCGGGCGCGGAGTCTGCAGCGACATATCAGCCCAACAGCATCGGAGACGCAACGCGGCTCATCGACGTCGTCCGAGGTGCAGTGGGAGCGAATCAGGTGACGGCCAAGTCGCCGGAGCTCATGGCAATGATACAGCAGCTCTGTCGGTTTCAGCAATCGGCGCTGCGCTCGACGGCCGAGCTCGAGGCCACGGCGCTGATCGAACGAGGGGAGAGGCGGTTAAGCATGCCAGGGGGGGGATTTTTCGGGGGCGCACTACCGCCGCCGGGTCAGGGCAAGGCTATCAAGTCGCAGCAGGGAAGTGCCTCGAAGGAGGGAAGTGATGACCGGTTTCGGGAGGACGAGGTCGAAATGACGATGGCCGACGACGAGACCGCTATCGACGCAGGGCGGGAATGGACGTTCAGTTTGGCCCATCAACCTCCTCCTCGCGGCGGGCAAGGTGTTGGCAACACGGCTGACGCTGAACAAGAGGCAGTCCATCGCTTTTCTGATAATATGCCGCCAGCTCGATTTGATGCAGCAGACCGACGGGGCGATGCCTGCCAGCTGCGCCAGTTCGTTGGTGGCGAGGCGGTACCGGCAAGTCGCGAATCATCGAGGCACTCGTCGAGCTGTTCAGTAAAGAGCCTTTCGATCGTCTGCTGATCACGGCGACGTCGGGGACTGCGGCGGCGCGGATCAACGGCATCACGATCCACTCCGCCTGCGGGTTCACTAAAGACCAAGGGCGGGGCGCGAACATGGTCAAAGACCTTGACGGGGTGCGGCTGCCGAAACAGGCGGAGCGGTTCATCCACGGCCAGTCTCGAATGGATTGGCAGGAGAAGGATGTGCTCGTCATCGACGAGGTGAGCATGCTCGGGGCGCGGACGCTGCACGCCGTGAACGAGCGGCTTCGCCGGCTTCGCGGATCGCGGCAAGATTCCGGGATCCCATCGTCCTCTTCTGCGGAGATTTTCAGCAGTTCCGGCCGGTCAAGAGGTCGATCGTCCTGCCTAGCGCGGCCATCTCGTGGGACGTAGACAACTCGTTCAAGGCCGAGCAGCGTCACCAGCACGACAAAGCGCACGCACTGTGGAAGAGGTTCACGACGGTCGTCATGCTGGACGAGCAGATGCGCGCCGCCGGCGACCCGGAGCTGCAGAGGCTGCTGAAGCGGATCCGTCTAGGCGTGCAGGATCGGATCTAAACCTCCTCAACTCAAGGTGCTACCGGGAGGAAGGCGGATCCCTTGGGAGACGGGCATCACCGTGGTGACGCCGCTCAATAGGAATCGGTGGAACCTGAACATGGAGGCGAGCCTGGCGTTCCGGGTCCAGCAGCGGTCGACGATGCGCATTTTCATCTCCGAGCACAAGTGGAAGGAGGAGCTGCCGACGGAGGAAGAGGCGATCATGATACTCAACCAGGGCGACGATAGCGCGATCCCGGTGCCGGCCGTCTTCATGTTCGTGGCCGGGATGCCCATCGTCGTGAACCACAACACCCACCAGGGGCTGAAGCTAGTGAACGGCGCGAGCTACTCGGCGGTGGAGGTCATTGTCGACAAGGCGTACCCGGGGCATCGGATCTCGGCCGATATGACGATCCACTGGGCCGCCGGCGGGATCATTCTCGAATCGGAGACGACGAGATATCTCCACTTCGTCGGGATGCCGCCGGGCACGATGTTGACACCCATGACCGTTAAGATACAGTGCCAGCGAAAAGGCCGTGGCAACGCAACGACGTCAGCCGAAAGGGTTTGCCGTGCGCAGCAGCGTTCGCGTGCACGGACTACAAGGTGCAGGGCAAAACGCTGGAGCGCGTGGCCTCGAGCTGCGAGGACACGGACGACGAAGATGGATGGAACGGTGGTGCCCTCGCAGTGCGACCCGTACGGCCTGTACGTGCAGCTATCGCGCTGCCGAACTCTAGACGGCATCATGCTCGTGTCCAAGGTGCGGGACAGAGACTTGGTGGGCAACCGGGTCCGAGGAGATGACTGCCGCACAGGCCAGGCTCGAGGTACTGAGCGAGAGGACCGTTGAGGAGGCGTTGCGCTGGCTGGACGGTGATGCTGAAGAGTCAAGGCGGCCGCGCTAGGTGACGCGATGAAGAGTTCGGCAGGCGGGAAGAGTCGGCAGGCGGCAGACAGGGTGGGAGGCGCCTAGTGGTGGGATAAGGCACGCGAAAAGGCAGAAGCCGGGAAGGGCAGCGACCAACGAGGAGGAGGCAAGAGAGGACCAATCACAAGGGACCAATCAAGGGGCGGAGAACTTTTGGGGAGAGGGCGGGGTCTGCAGGGCGTTATTAGACGAGGGAAGGCTCGCCAGCCGCGGCTCGCGCAAAGAGGCCTTTCGGAACGAAAGTTGGCGATGGCGACAGGAGAAAGTCGGCGAGAGGAGAGAGTTGGCGACAGGAGATAGGAGACAGGGAAGTGAGAGGAAGACAGGAAGAAGAGTGAGATAAGAGATATGAGATGGAGATCCGGCGAGAGACGTAGAGCATTATCGTGAGTGAAATCGAGACAGAGCGTCAGAGAGGCAGCCTAGGCCGCTGCAAGGGAGATTTTGCTTTGCAAAGGCGCAAAGGGCGTGGAGAGGCGGCAGGGGTGAAGAGAGTTGTGGGTGGTAATGCATGTGGGCGAGTGGAAGGCTCTGAGGATTTACAGGTGCTATAAGTGGTGGATATAAACAGAATAAGGAGTATATTGGAGAAGTTTTGACTGGATTGTCTTTGTGAAAAGGAGAGCAAGAGGAGAAGGAAATATCCCATTAGGGCCTTTCGCACTTGAGTTTGAGGATGATGAAACATGTTCCTTGTCATGTTGTGTTGTTTCGTTCGTTGCTTTACAGAATATTCTTGGGCGGATGTCGGGCGCGGTGCGGTCGGGAAGAGATTGACGCCGGAGGTCTGATAGGGCCAGAGGCGGATGTGGCTGGGTGATTGACTGGCTCGGTGTCCGTCTCTGAGTCTCCGGGTCTTCGTGGGACAGAAGGGAGGAAGTGTCGGATTTGGCGGGGCCTCGACTATCACAGGCGGCGACTATGGTGGAAATTTCTGGAGAAAGTCGCGGTCTCTTGGTTGGGGTTTGGTCGGGATCGGGCAATGACCGCTTTGATGTCATCATAAGGGGATCGACTGACCTAGATGCAGGCGGCGTGGGGGAGGCGCCGCTTGGGGCGGCATTGCGTTTTTTGGTAGAGGTAAACCTGGCCAACGCATCGCTATAGTCCGAGGGTTGCTGACTGAGCCCTTGGTGTCGTCGGCAGTAGCTGTGTCGCAGAAGCCTGGTTGGACATGGCCCTGTCAAGGAAAGTCCATGTATCGGGGACGACGATGAAGATATAGTCTTGCTCGAAGGCCGGGGCATGTGTCATGATCTGGTGATCGAGTAAGCCGGCGATTTTGCCCGTGCAGGTGAGAGAGCGTTCGGCTGGAACTGGCTATCGCGCCTCTCGGTCATCTTCTTGCATAGGAGGTCAAGGATTGGCGTGAATGGGAAGATGACGAAAAGTTGAAAGGATGAAAGCCCTTGAAGGGTGTTTGCCCGAATCCCAGGACAGATAAAGGTCGAGAGCTGGACAAAGCCGCAACAGCTCAGCTGGTGTCGTCAAGGGCCGCAGCCGAGTTTCCATGCAGAAGGTCGCGGCCGGAACCGATGACAGGTCCCGTGAAGGAGACAATGGGTTGTATCGCTGGGAAGGCATCCGCCGAGCCGAGGGTGCGAGGGATGACTCTGTGGCCATCGTCAGAGATGGTAGTGGTGACGGAGGTCTGGAGCATACACCTACGGCTGGTAGCTGTGGTCGCGGACGATGAGAGCCGGGATGGTGTATTCTGTAATGTTGTCATCCTCCGACTCGAAGCTATCGTCGCTCGATTTCCCACGTCAGGGCAAAGGATGAACACGGCCGACCATAAGAACCACTGCTCGGTCCATTCCGAGGGATTATCTGTTGGTTGTATATGGAAATATTAAGGCTCAAGAAGATGCAGGTCGATGGATTGTCAGGATCTGACCGGATTGCTGCATACTCTGGAGTCGACAGCCATGAGGGCGTTGGAAGGAAGACCCTCGCTAGGGTTTCTGCGTTGAGCCCTTTGACACGATGCTCATTCTGGTAGGCGAACCTAGACGGGCAGCCGGGCTGGACAAAGGCCATCATGGACATGTCGGCGCCAGCATTTTTCTGGCTGTCAAGAGGTTGCCGCGGGAGGACGAGGTATCGACGTTGAGCTGGGAGGCCGACATCGTGAGAACATGGCAGATGTGGTCACCGTGGAAGTGTAAAGGAGGGGTTAGGCAGAGTAGAGGTGGCATCCTATAAAGCAGGTTTTCTTGCTGCTCGAAAGAGGGCTCGTGGCTCGGGTCGGGAGACTTGAGAGTCAGTGAATGCTACCTAGGTGATAGATCAGAAGCGGGGGTATGCGGGAATGAGCTGGCGAGGTTCTCGAGCAGTCTCGACCATCTGGTTCTGTGGTCGTGAGTGAAGTAGGGAGCCGGGGGTTGGAAGTTGAGTAGGGGTGATGGCTATGTTGCGAGAAGTTGGAGGTCGGCGAACGGTAAGGTTAGTGTGGGTAAGACTGCGGAGAAAGAAAGTCCAGTAGTCCCCTTCGGTGTCATCGTTGCATGGAGTAGATAGCAAAGGGGCAATAACGAATGAGTGAAGGAAAGAAAGAGGTTATGGTAGTATTCCTCTTTTGACGGTCGTCGGTAGTTGGATGGGCATTGCGTGCGGCTGAGCGAGGCGGGTGCCGACCGTGTCGAGTCTACTATTGGGACACGGTGAAGTCGGATATATGGGTCGACCTGAGGAGGAGGATGCGAGTTGGTCACGAGAACTTTCCAAGAGGGTTTGCAAGTCGAGACTCCGGTGGCTAGCGACTACAAGAGGACAGGCAGGGGGGTCCTGGCTATCGCTTTAGCATTAAGGCCGTTGATGCGACATTGGTGCTGGCGAGGGAGCAAATCTAGAAGGGTAGTCCGGCTGCATGAGGGACGTCATGGACATGTTATCGCCGGCAGCCTTGTGGCTGTTGCTCGACGAGGCGGATTGGCGGATATTGATGGTGAACTGATGCGCAAGGTTGGTAGGATGGTGTTGGAAGGGCTGAAGAGTATGGTTTGAAGTGTGCGGCAGGCGGTTGTCGCGGCCATCTCCATGTGCCGGAGGTCGGCAGTGGCCAGGGATTCGCTGGAGTGCGCAAAAGAGAGCACGGCGATGGAAGGGTCGCTTTTGGCAAAGCTGGGGTAGCAGGTCGCACGTGGAGACCAGGCGAGGCCGGGACGGTGGACGCACATAGATAGGCATGGTAACGGGGGAATATAGAGGGGTAGTATTGCATCGCCTCGGTACCATAGGGAAGCATTTTATAGGGAAGCTATAAGGAAGAAACGCCACGGCCATGAGGGAAGTGATGGTTAGGGAGCTTCCCATTCGGGAGAAGTAGCGTCGTCAACAAGCGAGACTGTCCAAGTGGAGGTGCTCCGGAGCCAAAGCTTTATAGCCTGTTGCCAATTTACGGCAGTCGACGTCGAGGAGGCAGCAGCATGGCGGACAGTCCTGCAGTGAAGTTAAGCGAGGCGGTTGCTCACCCTGAAGCCTGTTCGTTGTCAGTCGGGGATGGAGAAGAGGTGAGAACGTGAGCGGGTCGGGTTCGGGGCTCGGAGATGGTGCGACAGGAGCCGGTGTAGATGTGGTGGCAGCTTCTGAGAGGGCCGCAGAGCACGGGGAGAGCCTGGGACGGTTACGAAGATACGAATCACGGGCGAATGCGGCATCAACGTTCCGGCCGATTCAGCCTAGGAAACCTGTGGTTGAAGACACCGCATGGAGACAGCACGCAGAAGCAATTGCGAGGTCGTTGCCGAGAAGACCGCCGCGAGGCGGTTTGCGGTCAAACAGAGCACGGAAGTTCCATAATATGGTTAGCAGCGGAAGTTCCGCGCAACATCAGTCACCGGGTCAGCTTCCGAGGCCCCTGTTGCCTAGGGAACGTGGAGATATGGGGGTAGCGGACTCTGATCGTCCGCTCCCTCATCGGCACTTTCTGCCTCAGGAGGGAGATCCTGAAGATGAGGAGCAACGTGTTACGGCGGCGGCGGGCGATGTCCCGAGTGTTCATTCGAAGGAGGTACCGAAGCTTCGATCCATCCAGCCTAGGGAACCGGTATTCGACAACTTAAGAGAAAACGGGCAATTAGCAGCAGCGATTGCGTCTGGTTTGCCCAAGCGCCGTCGGGGACGGAGTTGGCGGGTAAAGGGAGTACCAGGCCGCAGGGGTGTCTCCAACGCAGCAGGTACGGCGCAGCATCCGGGGCCGTCTCCTGTGGGTGGGCGACGCCGCGGCAGAGCCAGCGGACGCTTCGCTGAGCGGGCGGAGGCTGCAGCAAAGGGAGGTGGGCGGCTCATCGCGGGTGGCGGCTGGGGAGCCCGTGCAGTTTGATCGGCAGCAAGAACTAGGAGAGTGCTGGAAAGGCAAGGACTGAGGTCAAGGTTCGGCGTGGAAAACGTTCGCCAGCACGGCCCGGTGCCTGTCCAGTGCAAAGGGCCGGATGGCGTGTCAGGGATGCGCACGTAGTCGGGCAGTCGTCGCCAAAGCTGCCGCATCCGACGGCTTGCGAAGAAGCGAATCAGCCACGGAGAGAAGAAATCATGGATCGGAGGCGGCCCGGAGGCGGCCCCGGAGGCGGGAGAAGAGAAAACGTCTTCCTGGTCCGGACGAGCGCCCGAGAAAACAGATTCGGAGTGGAATCGGAAGGCAGAGGAGTCGGGAGCTGCGGGCCGAAGACCTGGCGAGTGTGCTGCGTTTTTTGGAGGAAGACTTCGCCATGAAGGAGAGGCTGTCTAACGATCAGACGTGGTGTACGCCAATACCGCACGACAGGAAGGTGTCGACGGTGCGGGATTTTATCAGGCGTTCCACGATGCGAGCACGTTGCCGATACGGACCTGCATGATGTGCTACCGCAAGCGTACGAGAAAAGAGCTGAGGGAGATCAGATGGGATCAATGGCTGTCAAGCTGCGTGCCAGAGGGCGGCCGCTCACCATTTTCATGCCGGAGCTGCTTTCCGAAGGCGAGCCCGTGTCGGTGTGTGCGGAGTGTGCCCGATGCCTGGCGCGCGGGAGTCTGTCGCCGGCGGTCCATCTTCACACTCGCCTTGGCTGTGAGCACATGTTCCCTGACGAGCTCAAGGGACTCACGCTGGTCGAAGAGAAGCTCGTCTCGCTCAACTCCTGCTATGGGTTTGTCACGAGATATAGCATTCCGGGCGGGCAGAGGCAGGCCGTGAGGTATCCGAGGCACGTCAAGGGCCACATCACAGTGTTTCCCAACAACGTGCAGGAGCTGGCGACCAGGTGCTCCCGCACCCCTTTGCAAGCACTGGACGAGATCCACGTTTCGTGGCAGGGCGTGGAGAAGCCGGCACCGAGCGACCTGTCGAGTCTCTTGTCGGTGAGGCGGCGGGTCGTCGAGAGGGCTCTTGTTTGGCTGAAGAGGAGCAACCCCCACTACGCCGAGATCGAGATCGACGTGGCGGAGATGGAGAGTTGGGGAGACCCGATAGACGGGGTGCCGGCCTTGGTGTATGATCGCATGGAGCGGAACGAGCCGTCCGCATGGGAGAAAACGCGGACGGCGCACGTTGTGCCGCCCACGGAGCGCGCCATGGACGACGAGGGGTCGGTGGAGATCGAGGAACTCTTCGCTCTGCTCAACCAAAGGCAGGAAACGGGAGGCGAGGCTGAAGGGCACGGGCCCAACGAAGAAGGCGCGGGTCGTGATGGAGTTGGTGCTAGCCCCGATCAGAACGTTCGACCAATCAACGAGGTGACGTCTTCCGGCATGTTTGGGCTGGACGGACCGCCAGACGTGGCGGATGTCGAGAAGCTGCGGTTTGCCTGTGACGCTGTTGGCGCAGGTGCCGACGACGGCCGCGCGGGCCCGAGAACGTGGGTCGGATCCTCGGTGGGGTCGAGGGCGTGGCGACGATGGCAGTGAGCCATACATTCGAGTCTCGCGGGGATGAGTTTGCCGACCTTTGAGACGTCCTTCTTCGCCAGAACGTTCCCGACCCTGTTCCCATTTGGCGTTGGGGACCAAGGCTGGCCGAAGAGGCCATAGCCGAGGCGGGGAAGGCCCTACCAACTTGCGAGGCACCGGTAGAGCTGCTGAGGCAGGGGCGGCAGCGGGAGACATCGTATCCTCCCGAAGCTTGAACCTCCGGATTTGGGCCGACATCGTGCCCGGCGCCATGGTGGCCGGTTTGCGTTGCACCACATATTTGCATTTCTCGTCTTCAACATGGGGGTGCGGTCGAGGAACCGCCGCGTCAGCATGCTGAGTGTGGCGAGGAAGGACTTCGGCAAGGTCGAGCGCGTTGCCCGCTCGATGACCGCGCAAAGGTTAGCGGCGGCGAGGGTCGAGTTGGAGAGCTCGGGCAAGACGACCGATGAGGGCGTGAAGGAGCTTCTCAGGAGCCTCTCGCTGTACGGCCACCGGCAACCCATGTCGAGAGGTTCGGCTCAATATGCGGCGGAAAATCCAGTCGCTCATCGTTGGCTACGGCGTTCCGGCCATCTGGTTCACCATCAACCCAAACGACATTACGAACCCGGTGAAGCTGCGACTGGCGGCATATCGGACACGCGATCCGGCGCGGCCGAGGAGTTCCTAGAAGGCCTTGGGAGTGCGTACAAGCGGACAAGGCTGGCCATGTCCGATCCGATGAGCGCCGCCGTATTCTTCCACCGGGAGATGAAGCTGTTCTTCGATCATTACGTGAAGGTCGGAGAAGAGTCGGTATTCGGGCGCATCGGCAAGTACTATGGCGCTGTGGAGACCAACGAACGAGGGGCGCTTCATGTTCACGGCTTGCTCTGGTTGCACGGAAACGCGCATCTCAGCTCGATGCTTGCCGACATCCACGGGGAGGATCAGGCGGCGTATCGCGAGCGAATCATACGATACGTCGATAGTGTCTTCTCCGAGGTAAGAATAGCTAAGACGTGTCACTGAGAACCTGAATTGCTCGTCCGATGGACAAACGGGGCCAGGCTGACGTGCAAGATAGGATCTGGATCAGGAAGGGTTCTGCGCCGTGCAAGCGGAGCGATCTGTGACGTCCGATATTTCCTCCCTGCTGGACAACACCGAGCAGTTTTCGGCCGCATTTGACGAGGAGGCCAACTTCTGTGCCGGCGCTACACAGGTTCACACGCATAGCCCGACCTGTGTCAAGTATTCCTTGGGCAAAGGAGCGCGGAAAGGGAATCCATGCCGGTTTAAGTCTCCATGGAGGTTGGTCGACAAGACCGCCATCACGGCAGACGGGGTGTTGCAGATCCGGAGGACTCACAGCATGGTCAATCGATGGAACAAGGCTATCGCTGTTGGGCTCCGGCACAACCACGACATTTCCTTCATTGCGACGCAGCGCAAGACCATGGCCCTTATGTATTATGTCACGAACTACGCGACGAAGGTGGAGGACCCGGTGTGGAAGCGTGTGGCGGCCGCGGCCGATCTCCTGGCCGCCTCAACGGGTGACGGCACGGCCAACGGAGGACAGGACGACGGTGGAGGTGCTGTTGGCGATGACGCCGCCAAGGGAACAGGACGCGACAGTTCTTGATGAGGGTGGCGAATCGTGTGTTCACGGAGCGTCCGCTATCTCAGGTCGAGGTCGTCGCTCATCTTCTTGGATATCCGGCCGAGTTCACCAACAGCAGCGCCTGGGCGTACCTGAACACATCTCTGCTGTACTGGGAAGTCTTTCGACGGTGGCCGTATCTCCGACGAGCAAGTGGCGCGGCGGCCATAGATGATACTCTGGATGAGTCGGTCGTTGTCGAAGAAGCAGGCCTGAGGATCTCCCACGTTGAGGCGTACCAGCACCGGGAGAGCTCCTGCGAGGCTATGCTTATACGACTACATATCGCTCGTTAGACTAAAACGCACCAGTAAGGATGAGAGCTGTGCGGCCTGGGAGAGGTGCCCTTCGAGGATGGATGGGCGCCAGGAGACGCTGGGTCCAGGTGCTCAGGCGGCCGGGCAAGCATGCTACCGTCTGCCTCGATGGCTACCTGAGCAAGGACTTCGGCCACAACGACGACGAGGAGTCGTGCCACCGGAGGTGTGTATAGCAACCGCCCTGCCGGCAGGCATCATCAGAGTGGCTAACCTCCCCCCCCTTCCCCTTAAAGGGCAGCCGTGCAGCATCTTGCGCTATTTGTGCCGTGGAGTCCTTTCTGTGCGAAGAAACAGGTGAGATCAATAGCATCTGGGAGCGGGCGCGAGAGGCGCTGGCCCCGAGAATATCATGTCTCGTCGACAACGTGCAGCTGCTTCGACGATCAGCCGAAGACGCAAAGCGCGACGCCAAGCAATGGGCGGCCTCATCCGGCGATGGCGATTCCACGGTCGCCCACGTCGAGGAGGGCGAGACAGGCGAGGCGGGCGCAGAATTTGCAGCGACGTATCGGTCCAACAACATCGGAGACGCAACGCGCCTGATCGACGTCGTCCGAGGCGCAGTGGGCACGAATCAGGTGACGGCCAAGTCGCCGGAGCTCATGGCAATGATGCGGCAGCTCTGTCGATTCCAGCAATCGGCGCTCTGCTCAACGGCCGAGCTCGAGGCCATCGCGATTCCCGAACAAGGGTTGAGGTGCATAAGCATGCCAGGGCGGGTATTTTCCGGGGCCGCACTACCGCCGCAGGATCAGGTCAAGGCTATCAAGTCGCAGCAGATAAGTGCGTCGAGGGAAGGGAGAGAATGATCCAAGGCGTACAAACCACAGTCGCAGTCCGGGAAAGCGATCGCCGAGCTGCGTTGCGGAGGGTGATGACCGGCTTCGGGAGGACGACGTCGAAATGACGACAGCCGACTCCGACGAGACGGCTAGCGACGCAGAAGCGGGAATGCGCGTCCAGCTTGGCCCATCGACCTCCTTCTTCGCGGCGGGCAAGGAGTTGTCAACACGGCTAACGCTGAACAAGAGGCAGTCGATCGCTTTCCTAATAATATGCCGCCAGCTCGATTTGATGCGACAAACGAATAGGGCGATGCCGGCCAGCTCTGCCAGTTCGTCGGCGGCGAGGGGGCACCGGCAAGTCGCGGATCATTGGGGCACTCGTCGAGCTGTTCAGTGGGAAGAGCCTTTCGAATCGTCTGCTGATCACGGCGACGTCAGGGACTGCCGCGGCGCAGATCAACGGCATCACGATCCTCCGCCTGCGGGTTCACTAAAGACCAAGGGGCGGGCGGCGCGAACACAGCCAAGGACCTTGACGGGGTGCGGCTGACAAAACGGGCGGAGCGGTTCATCCACGGCCAGTCTCGGATGGACTGGCAGGAGAAGGACGTGCTTGTCATCGACGAGGTGAGCATGCTCGGAGCGCGGACGCTGCACGCCATAAACGAGCGACTCTGTCGGCTTCGCGGATCGCAGAAAGATTTCGGGGATCCCCATCGTCCTCTTCTGCGGAGACTTTCAGCAGTTCCGGCCGGTCCAAGAGAGGTCGATCGTCCTGCCGAGCGCGGCCATCTCGTGGGACGTAGACAACTCGTTCAAGGCCGAGCAGCGGCACCAGCACGACAAAGCGCACGCGCTGTGGAAGAGATTCACGACGGTCGTCATGTTGAACGAGCAAATGCGCGCCGCCGGTGATCCGGAATTGCAGGGGCTGCTGAAGCGGATCCGGCAGGGTGTGCAGGACCGCACGGATCTGGACCTCCTCAACTCAGGTGCTACCGCGAGGGCAGGCGGATCCCTTGGGAGACTGGCATCACCGTGGTGACGCCGCTGAACAGGAATCGGTGGAACCTAAACATGGAGGCAAGCTTGGCGTTCCGGGTCCAGCAGCGGTCGACGATGCGCATCTTCATCTCCGAGCACAAGTGGAAGGAGGGCCTGCCGACCGAGGAAGAAGCGATCATGGTACTCAATCAAGGCGACGATAGCGCGATCCCCGTGCCGGCCGTCTTCATGTTCGTGGCCGGGATGCCGGTCGTCGTGAACCACAACACCCATGGGGGCTGAAGCTGGTGAACGGCGCCGGCTACTCGGCGGTGGAGGTCATTGTCGACAAGGCGTCCCCAGGGCATCGAATCTCGTCCGACATGACGATCCACTTCGGCCGCCGGCGGGGATATTACTGGAATCGGCGACGACAAAGGACCTCCACTTCGTCGGGATGCCGCCGGGCACGATCTTGTTAACGCCGATGAGCGTCAGGATACACTGCCAACGAAAGCGGCCGTGGCAGCAGAACGACGTCAGCCGGAAGGGATTGCCGTGCGCAGCAGCCTTCGCCTGCACGGACTACAAGGTGCAGGGCAGAACGCCAGAGCGCGTGGCCCTGGAGCTGCGGGGACACGGACGACGAAAGTCGATGGAAGGGCCGTGCCCTCGCAATGCGACCCGTACAGCTTATATGTGCAGCTATCGCGCTGTCGAACGCTAGACGGCATCACGCTCGTGTCCAAGGTGCGGGAGAGACTTGGTGGGCAACCGAGTCCCCGAAGAGATGACCGCCGCGCAGGCCAGGCTGGAGGTGCTAAGCGAGAGGACTGTCGAGGAAGCTTTGCGTCGGTCGGATGGCGACGCTGAAGAGTCAAGGAGAGTTGTCAGGGTGAGGTGACGAGGGGGAGAAGACGGAGGAGCGCGCCGGCGGGCAAGAAGACAAGGGCACTGGGCAGCAGCGATCAACGAGGGCGACTTTAGACTTGAAGGAAGAACCCGCTAGAAAGGCATGAACGAAAAGGGCAAAGACAAAAGACGCAAGTTTTAGACACAATAAGAAAACCGGCGGACGAAAGGAAAAAGGTTGGCATTGGCATTGGCATTGGCAAGGGGGTAAACAGGAGTATAAACGGGGGGGAAACAGGGCAAGGCATGAGAGGGGCAAGAAAAGGCGGCTGCGACCAATGATGAGGGAGGGACGGAAGGGTCGGCGACCAATCACACGGGATCTTTTATTCCGAAAGAGGAAATAAATCAGCCAATCAGAGGCGGAGGATGTGGGGGTGAAGCAGTCTGGGGCCTTTTTTCCCCGCGCGCTAATGAAGTCCTTTCGTTCCTCAAGGCACGTTCCTCAAGGCATACCTTTTCTTTGGCGGCCAACAGGTAAGGCAACCCTTCATGGGTTGCGCAAAGAGCCTTGAGGAACGAAGGCCGAAGATTGGAGAGACAAACAAGACAAAGACAGGGTGAGAGAAAGAACGCAAGCAGGCGGTAGCGCTAGGAACTAAAACATGCAAAAAGGTAGGTAAAGAAAGTGGCCATTCGGGCACCATCCCGCGGGAAGAGGCAGAAAAAGCAAGAAGGCAAGTAAAGCGGTGATGACGATTGCGGGGTAAGCGGAGGAAGGGAGCATAAGAGGGCGCCAAGGCACGAATAGGAGAACAAGAGCAGAAGCGTCTACCCTAGCTACCGATCGAGCAGTTAGGAAAACAACTACAGCATGGCCACTTGCAACGTTTCCGTGGAGTTCTGGTGCGAATTCGGGGCCACGGAGCTGAAGTACAAGCATAGCATCCCGAAGACGCTCGTGACGCAGGTAGGCCAGGCGAGGCCGAACCACGCAGCCAGTGCACTGTTCCTACAGTGGATAAGGCCGATCCTACGGGAGCACGAGGCAGCGTGTCGGAAGGCAGCAGGGTGCGCTGCGAGAGCTGCGGCGGACTCGCAAAGGAGATTCTACAGAGCCCGATATCGTACCTACACGCAGAGAGGCCGTTTGTGCTCGTGGTCGTGTCGTCGTTCTGCGGCAAAGAAGGATGCGAAATTAGGACGAGGCAGGAAATGCAGGACACGATGGCAGAGGCGGGGCAGGCGGGCGGAAACAAGGGCGCGACGCAAATGCAAGGGCAGGATGCGCGGGGGCGAGGAGGTGCAGCCGATGCCTGACGGTGGCGTACTTCAGCAGGCAACACCAAAAGGAGGACTGGAAGGTGCACAAGAAGGGATGCAAGCCAAAGGCAAGCTAGGAGCTAGGAGAGGAGGAAGGAAAGTAAAAGGGACAAGGCATAACGCGCAGGACATAAACAAGGTCACGGAGAACAAATAGAGGCAGGCACTATCGTAAGAAATAGGTCGCAAGCTAAAGTTGTTGTTTCAAAAAGAGATAAACGTTGTAATGTGTAGAGTAATGGTAATTTTGCAGCGATAAGTTTCGTTAGGAATAGCATCTCGAGAGGAGAACGGTTTATTTTAGTAAAGGCAAGAGGCGTAAGAGAGCGATAGGTTTATAGTAGGCAGCTCATTTCTGCATGCGATAGCGGATAGGTCGAGCGGGCGGGTCGGAGGTGCTCGCGACAATAGAGTCAAGAGGGAACCCGGCTTGGCTGCCGGAGCGGAACGGGCGGGACGCCGCTCGGTCGAGACGAAGAAGCGGCCGGCGGGGAGAGGAGGAGGGCGGCGGAGCTGACGGTGTCCGAAGACGAGGAAGGCGGCGAATTCTGCTGCTGCAGCAAGCGCGCCCTCTTCATGGGCGTATCGGCAAGGGCCGGGTGGGAGCGCTTAGGCGGTGGTGTGACGGGGTCGAGGGCGGTCGGGGCCGAGGCCAAGGAAGGGGGAGCCGACGCAGCCGAGGCCGGCGCAGCAACGGAGTACAAGGCGGCGCGGACGGAATCAAAGGTAGAGGAGGCGGATAGGGTCTGACGTTTAAGGGGCGTAGCAAGGGGGGAAGCCGAGGCGGAGGCGGCCGCCGAGGGCCTGTCGACAAAGTTCCAGCTGTCCGGGACGACGATAAAGACGTAATCGCGCTCTGAGCCCGGGGGGCAGAGCATAAGACGGTGGTCGAGAAGGCCGACGACCTTTCCAGTGCAGGTAAAGGGACGCCGGGCAGGAAGGAAGAGTTAGGCCTTTCAGCAATTTTCTTGCATAGCACGGCCCAAGGGTTAGCATAGATGGGAAAGATAACAAAGACCTGGAAGGGGTGGTAGCCCTTAAAGGGAATCCGGTCCGGCAGGCCAGGGGTGATGTAGGTAGTGAGCCGGACGAAGCCGCAGCAGCGGAGCTGGTCGGGCCGAGACCTGGCAGGAAGTCTCCACGCAGGAGGTCAAGGCCAGGCCCGGCGATGACGCCATGGAAGGAGACAACAGGAGGCGTAGACGGGAACTGGCCGCCAGAGGCCAAGGCGTGGGAGGACGCTAGGAGAGAAGTCAGCGAGGCGGCCGGTGAAGGGCAAAAAAAAAAAGGGGCGCACGGCTGGTAGCCTTGGTCGCGGACGATAAGGGCGGGCACTGTAGAGGACGGTATCGTCTGGGCCGGCCTCAAGACCGTCGCGGCGCTCCACCTCCCAGGCGAGGGCGTAGGGGTGAACGCGGCCGCTCATAAAGAACCATTGCTCGGACCAGTCCGTGTCGACGATTGGCTGGCCGTAGATAGAGAGGTTTAGGCTAAAGAAGAGAGAGGGGCCCAGGTCGTCGCCCTCGGCCCGGAGGGGTGCGTAGTCGGCCTCGAGCAGCCACGAGGGCACCGGCAGGAGGACGCGGGCGATAGCCTCAGCGTTGAGGCCCCTAATGCGGTGCTCGTCGTGGTGGGCGAACCTCGCGGGGCAGTCGGGCTGGGCGAAGAACATCATGGACATATCGCTGCCCGCGCCCTTGCTAGAGCCAAGGGGCTTGCGGAGGTGCGGGCAGAGCTGTCCGCCGACGGAGACGAAGACATGGCTCGGCCGTGTAGTAAAGAGCAACGTTGCTGGGGCAAAGCTAAAGCGGCGAGAAAGATAGGCAGGAGTGCTCCTACCTATATACCGTCTTACGAGTTTAGTGTAAAGAGAAGGGCCAGTGGCGATGGTGTGTAAGAGAAGTCAAAGGATTCTAAACAAAGACGCAACATGGCGTTAGTGGTAGGTTATATAAGGAGCCTTTGTAAAAGAGGTCTATAAGATGCGTATAGAGGAGAGTGCAATAAGAGAAGGAGAACTTTAAAAGGCGGTCTAGTAAGATGTTGAGAGTTTTTAAGACAAGCAGGACGCGCGAAGCTATATTTGAGGAGAAGCAGGCAGCCCTATTCGCAACACGTGTAAGACATGGTTTTAAACTTCAGCGGGCAAGTGTCTAGGGGCATACGGAAGCTTTGACTGATAAGAGCTGGATGACAAGAAGGAAAAGCGTAGCATGCAAAGCATAGGCAAGAAGAAGCCGTCGCGGCGACGTACATATAAGGATCGGCCGAGGCCGTCTAGCCTATCGCATATAGCAGCAGGCAATGGCGGGCGGGCTTAATAGAAAGGCGGCGCCGGTATAATGCAAAGAGCAGCAGCACGCATATAGATATAGTAGAGCTACGAGTAAGATATATAGACTTTTGTAGAGGATCCTATATGCGCAAGAGGGTGCCAGTCAGCAAGATAAGTGCAGGGCGAATAATCGAGGCAAGGATTTATACGCTGTTATTACACTTACGAGGATTTACGCCAGGGCCTAGTGGCACCATAAGTAGGCAGGGCCAAAGAGGGCAGGTGCAAAGAGGAAGACAAGACGTCCGTGGGGCTTTGGTAGACCGGTGTCGCAATGAAGCCAGCCAACGGAAGGGACCAGTCCGGAGCGGGGGACGGGGCAAGCCCGGCGCCAGAAGCCTGCGCAGCGCCGTACACAGGACCAGAGTTCCAGCCGACCACAGCAGCGCCGGCACTTGCTAGCGGCGCCCCTCGGAGAGAGCAAGAAGAGGCGTCAAGGGAGGCGCCTCCGAGGCGAGGGCGGGGAAGACCGCCAGGACTAGGGAGATGGAGGATCAGCGCAGGCCGAGTCATGCCGCGGGATATCCAGCCTCGGCCGACACCAAGCGCGGCGGCAGCGGCTGCCGCCGACACCGAGGGCGGCAGGGCACTGGCTGCCGCAAGGCGTGCCCAGCGCCGTCTCGGCCTCAGGGAAAAGCCAGCGCGCACCAAGAAATCCGGCCTCTGCCGACGGTAGAGGCCGCCGGTCCTTCGCCGCCGCCGAAGAGACGTTCGGACGTTCCGCGGGACATTCGGCCACAGCCGACATGGAGGGCCGCCGGCCCTTCGCCGCCGACGAGAAGTTCGGACGCGCCGCGGGATATCCAGGCTCTGTCGACACCGACGGCGGCAGGGCGCCGGCTGCCGCAAGGCGGGCCTAGCGCCGTCTCGGCCTCAGGGAAAAGCCAGCGCGCACCGAGGAAATCCGGCCTCTGCCGACGGTGGAGGCCGCCGGGCCTCGCCGCCGCCGACGAGAAGTTCGGACGTTCCGCGGGATATTCGGCCACAACCGACTTGGAGGGCCGCCGGCCCTTCGCCGCCGTCAAGCGGGACTAGCTCGGCCGTAGTCTCGATCGGAAGCCAGCACTCGCCGCGAGCCATCCAGTCCCGGCCGGCCAGCAGGGCCGAGATCCCCGCCACAACTCCGGCCGCAGCCGGGCTGCTTGTTGGCGGCAGAGATAGCGCCTCGGCAGGTACGGTCGTAGAGCGAGGTAAAGGCGTGTAGCGGTGATAGCTAACCGGACGCAGGTAGATCGGCGATAAGACGGCAGGCGAGGAAGAGCAGAAGAGGAAACGCCATCTTAGTAGTGGGCAGGCCGAGCGGAAACGCGCCCGGGTCGGTGAAAGGGTGCCGAGACCAAGGGCTGCAGGCCGAGGACCTAGCCAGCGCGCTGCGGCACCTCGACGAGGAGTTCGAGGCGGGCGAGAGGCTGGCCAACGAGCAGACGTGGTGTGCGCCGGTGCCGCGCGAGAGGCAGGTGAGGACGGTGCGGAAGTTCTACCGGGCGTTCCACGACGCTGGCACGCTGCCGATCGCGACCTGCACGCTATGCTACCGGAAGCGGGCCAAGGGGAGCTGAGGAGATGGCGTGGGAGGGTGGGAGGGGTGGTCGCGGAGCGGTGTTGCGGGGCGGGCGGTCCCCGTTCGGGTGCCAAGCCTGCTTCCCGGAGGGCAGGCCGGTGGCGGTCTGCGCAGAGTGCGCGCGATGGGCCGGGCGTGAGGGGGCGTCGCCGGCCATGCACCTCCATGGGCGGCTCGGCTGCGAGCACGCGTACCCCGACGAGCTAAAGGACCTCACGCCGCTCGAGGAGAAGCTCATCTCGCTCAACTCGTGCTACGGCTTCGTGACGAAGTATAGCATCCCCGGCGGCCAGAGGCAGAGCGTGAGGTACCCGAGGCACGTCAAGGGCCATATCACGGTGTTCCCGAACGACGTGCAGGGCCTGGCTGCCAGGTGCTCCCGCACCCGCTGGTCCGGGTCATGGACGAGATCCACGTCTCGTGGCAGGGCGCTGAGAGGCCCGGGCCGCGGGACCTATCAGGCCTGCTGTCGGTAAGGCGGTCGGCGGTCGAGAGGGCGCTGGCCTGGCTCAGGAGAACAACCCGCTCTACGGCGAGGTCGAGATCGACGCGGCGGAGATAGCCAGCTGGGGCGCCGCCGCACGGGTGCCGCCGGTGGTGTGCGAGCGGCTGGAGCGAAACGAGCCGTCGGCGCGGGAGAGGACGCAGACGGCGCAGGTGGTGCCGCCGTCGGAGCGGGCCATGGACGACGGAGGCGCGGCCGAGATCGAGGAAATCCTCGCGATGCTAAGGCAGGGCCAGGACCCCTCCGAGGAGCCGCGACGTCGGGCTCACGTGCGAGGACGACGACAGGGACGGCGCTAGGCCCGAAGAGGACGGGGACGTAATCAATGAGGTAACGTCTTCCGGCATGTTCCCGTTAGATGGGGCGCCAGATGTGGCCGACGCCGAGAAGATTCGCTTCGCCCGCGACGCGGTCGGGCCCGAGGGAGCGCGCGCCAGCCGAGGACGTGGTAGGGACGGCGGCCAGAGGGGCGGCGGGCGACGGCGGCGACGGCGAGCCGTACATACAGGTGCGACGCGGCGAGGATTTCGCCGACTCGGCGGACGCCTCCTTCTTTGCAAAGGCCTTTCCGACCCTGTTCCCTTTGGCTTAGGCGGGCCGAGGCTCGCCGACGAGGACGCCGCGGGAGAGAGCGCGGGCCTAGCGTCGGGAACCAGGGCGCCCAGGCGGAGCGGGTTGCAGAGGGCCTTATGTCGACGCGGAACATGAAGCTCCAGGCATGGGCCGACGTCGTGCTGCGGCGTCACGGCGGCCGGTTCGCGACGCACCCTATCTTCGCCTTCCTTGTCTTTAACATGGGCGTGCGGTCTAAGAACCGCCAGGCCAGCATGCTAGGCGTAGCGAGGAAGAACTTCGCAAGGGTCGAGGGCCTACTAAAGTCGTTAACGGCGCAGAGGCTCGAGGCGGCCAGCCGAGCTCGAGGCCACAGGTAAGACTAGCGACGACGGGGTAAAAGAGCTCCTCCGGTCCCTCTCCGTGTTCGGCTACCGGCAGCCAATGTCGAGGGAGAGCCGCCTTAGTATGCGGAAGAAGATACTATCCCTCATCGTTAGGTACGGGGTGCCGGCTATCTGGTTCACGCTGAACCCGAACGACATTACGAACCTAGTAAAGTTACGGCTAGCGGCGCACCGCGGCCGCGACCCCGACGAGGCCGAGGCCTTCCTAAGTGACCTAGGGACCGCGTATAAGCGGACGCGGCTGGCCATATCGGACCCGATGAGCTCGGCCGTCTTCTTCCACCGGGAGATGACGCTCTTCTTCGAGCACTACGTCAACGTCGGGGAGGAGTCGGTGTTCGGCCACGTCGGCGCATACTACGGGGCGGTAGAGACCAACGAGCGAGGCGCCCTCCACATCCACGGGCTCCTCTGGCTGGGGCAACGCGGGCATTGGCGACGCGCTCGCCGGCCCGGACGCGGAGGAGCAGGCGGCGTACCGGGAGCGCATCGTCCGCTACGTAGATAGCGTCTTCTCTGAGGTAAGGCGGCCGCCTTAACACAACCCCGATGCCCCTATCTGGGGCAGGCTGAGGGCCTAAGCTGAACCGAGGCCGCAGGAGCTAGACGCAGAAGGTTACTGTGCCATGCAGGCAGAGCGGTCGGCCACGGCGGACATATCGTCGCGGCTCGACGACGTCGCGCGCTTCACGGACACCTTCGACGAGGAGGCCAACTTCTGCGCGGGCGCGACGCAGATCCATACGCATAGCGCGACCTGCGTAAAATACTCGCTCGGCGTGGGGGCGCGGAAGGGGGACCTCTGCCGGTTTAAGGCGCCGTGGAGGTTGGTGGAGAGGACGGCGCTGACGGCGGACGGGGTGCTCGAGATCCGGCGGACGCATAGCATGGTGAACCGGTGGAACAGGGCGATGGCAGTGGGGCTACGACACAACCACGACATCTCGTTCATCGCGACGCAGCGCAAGACCATGGCCCTAATCTACTATATTACTAACTATGCGACGAAGGTAGAGGACCCGGTGTGGAAGCGTGTGGCCGCCGCGGCCGAGTTCCTTCCTGTGCTAGAGCCGACGGGAGAGGGCAACAGAAGTGGCGCCGACCGCGACGCCGGCCGGGAGGGCGGGGCCGAAGGGGTAGCGACGGCGGCGGACCCCGTAGGGGAATAAGACGAGAACGTTCCTGCTTAAGGCGGCGAATCGAGTCTTTACGGAGCGGCCGCTGTCGCAGGTCGAGGTGATCGCGCACCTCCTAGGGTACCCGGCGGAGTTTAGCAGCGGCTCAGCGTGGGCGTATATAAACGCAAACCAGCTCTACTGGGCCGTCTTCCGCCGGTGGCGGCACCTCCGACGGGCGAGCGGCGCCGAGGCGACGGGCGACGCGCCGGACGAGACGGTCGTCGTCGAGGAGGCTGGCCTGAGGATCCCTCTCGTCGAGGCCTACCGGCACCGGGGCGAGCTCCTGCGGGCCTCTGCCTTTATGACTACGCATCGCTTGTAAGGTTAAAGCAAAACGGCAGCGGCGCCGACGGTATGGCGGGCTGGGGTGAGGTACCCTTCGCGGAGAGCTGGGCGTCGGGGAAGGGCTGGGTGCAGGCGCTTAGGCGGCCGGGTTGCGGGGCGACTGTATGCGTCGACGGATACCTCAGCAAGGAGTTCAGCGAGGAAGACGACGAGTCGTGCCACCGGAGGTGCGTACTATAAGACGGGGGGCGCCTAAGAGGAAGGCAGAGCAGCTAGGGGCATCGGCTAACAGCATCTAGGGCGGCGGTGCAGCACCTGGCCCTATTCGTGCCGTGGGGTCCTTCCTCGGCGAGGAGGCAGGCGACATTAACAACATCTGGGCACGGGCGCGGAGTCGCTGGCGCCGAGGGTCGCGCGGCTCGCAGACAACGTGCAGCTCCTCCGGCGGTCGGCGGAGGACGCGAAGCGCGACGCCAAGCAGTGGGCCGCCACGGCCGAGGAGGGCGGTATGACGGCGCCGCAGGCCGACGACGAAGGCAGGGGGCGGCCGAAGGGGCGAGGAGGCATACCGCGCCGGCGGGGCGGGCGACGCGGCTCGGCTCATCGACGTCGTCCGGAACGCCGCCAGCGCGGGACAAGTCACGGCGCAGTCAACAGAGCTGCTAGCGATGACGCAGCAGCTCTGCCGGTTCCAGCAGTCGGCGCTCGGGTCGGCGGCCGAGCTCGCGGCGACGGTGGTGGCGGACGAGAGGGCAGGCAGGCGGGTGAACCTACCGGGCTCGGCGCTGTCGGGGGCGGCACTGCCGCGGCAAGAAGAGGTGCGGGCCATCAAGTCGCAGCAGAGGAGCGCGGCGCGGGAGCGGGAGCGGGCGATCCAGGGCATCCAGGGCGGCGGGGCGGCGGCGGGCGTCGGGGCCGACCGCGGCGCGGCCCTTCGCGGGGTGATGGGGGGCTTCGGCGAGGACGACATCGACGTAACGGCGGCCGACGGCGACGCAGACGCAGGCACGGCGGCGGGGATGCGCGTGCGGCTCGGCCCGTCGAGCTCGTTCGTCGCCGCCGGCAGGGAGCTGGCGGGCCAGCTCACGCTCAACGAGAAGCAGGCCATCGCCCTCCTAATCGTGTGCCGGCAACTCGACCGAATCCGGCAGGGCGACGACGCAGGCGGCGACGGTGGTGGCCAGCTCTGCCTATTCATCGGCGGCGAGGGCGGCACCGGCAAGTCGCGCGTCATCGAGGCGCTCGTCGAGCTGCTCGCCCGGAGGACCTATCGAGCCGGGTACTGGTTACGGCGACGTCGGGGACGGCGGCAGCGCGGATCAACGGCATCACGCTGCACTCGGCCTGCGGCCTTACGGTCGGCCAGGGCGGCCGGGCGGGAGGGCGACGAGGACATTGACGGCGTACGGCTGGCGGGCCAGGGCGAGCGCTTCGTCGACGGCCGGTCGCGGATGGACTGGCAGGAGAAGGAGGTGCTGGTGATCGACGAGGTCAGCATGCTCGGGGCGCGGACGCTGCACGCCGCCAACGAGCAGCTCTGCCGGCTGCGGGGGTCGGCGCGGGACTTCGGCGGCATCCCGGTAGTGATCCTCTGCGGCGACTTCCACCAGTTCCGGCCGGTGCAGGAACGGTCGATCCTGCTGCCGAGCGCGGCGGTGGCGTGGGACGAGGACGGGGCGTTCGCGGCCGAGCAGCGGCGGCAGCACGACAAGGCGCACGCGCTGTGGCGGCGCTTCACGACGGTCGTCATGCTAGACGAGCAGATGCGGGCCGCCGGCGACCCGGAGCTGCGGCGGCTGCTCGGGCGGATCCGCCGGGGCGAGCAGGACCGGTCGGACCTAGAGCTGCTCAACTCGAGATGCTACCGGCCGGGCAGGCGGATCCCGTGGGAGACGGGCCTGACGGTGGTGACGCCGCTCAACCGGAACCGCTGGAACCTCAACCTAGAGGCGGCGCTCGCGTTCCGGGAGAGGCGGCGGACGGCGGCGCGCGTCTTCCTCTCCGAGCATAAGTGGAGGGACGGCGTGCCGACGGAAGAGGAGGCGGTGCTAATGCTAGGCCAGGGCGACGACAGCGCGACGCCGGTGCCGGCCGTCTTCCTCTTCGTGCCAGGCATGCCGGTCGTCGTGAACCAGAACACGCACCAGGGGCTAAAGCTTGTGAACGGGGCCGGGTACACGGCGGTGGACGTCATCCCCGACCGCGCCTTCCCCGGCCACCGCGTCTCGGCGGAGCTCATCATGCACTTCGGGCCGCCGGCGGGCATCGTGCTGGCCTCGGAGACGACCAAGGACTTCCACTTCGTCGGGATGCCTGCCGGGACGATCCTGCTAACGCCCATCAGCGTCAAGATCACAGCGCAGCGGAAGCGGCCATGGCAGCGCAACGACGTCAGCCGGAGGGGCCTGCCGTGCGCCGCGGCCTTCGCCTGCACCGACTATAAGGTGCAGGGCGGGACGCTAGAGCGCGTGGCGCTGGAGCTGCGGGGGGCGAGGATGACGACGGTCGAGGGAGGGCGGTGCCGTCGTCGTGCGACCCGTATAGCCTATACGTGCAGCTGTCGCGGTGCCCGACGCTCGACGGCATCATGCTCGTATCAGAGGTGCGGAGCGGGACCTAGTGGGAACCGGGTGCCTGAGGAGATGACGGCAGCGCAGGCCCGGCTAGAGGAGCTTAGCAGGCAGACAACACAGGAGGCGGCCGACTGGCTCCGCAGGTAACGCAGGCGCCCTGCATTTTCCACACTTCTGACGTAAAAGGAGTGTAGGTTAAGGGCCAGGAGGACGGGCGAAGGGGGTGGTCTGTGGAGGCGTGTGGTCTATGGCGGAGTTAGAAGCCGGGCCGGCTTGGGCACCTTCCTCTATGTGGTCTGCGGCGGCGTATGGTCTACGGAGGCGTTGGAAGCGAACTGCGCAGCTGGAACTAAAAGGGCAGCAAGGGGCAGGGCATTATGCATTTTTATTTATTAACGAATGAAAAGCGAGAACATCGACGAATCAAAAGCGAGAAAGAACAACCGACGAATCAAAAGCGAGAACGCCAGCGAATCAGAGGCGGCATTTGCGGGGAAATCGATGGCGAATTTTTTCTCCCCGGGAGGAACCCTACAGGAGAAGGCTCGCCTCGGGCTCGCGCAAAGAGCCTTGAGGAACAAAAGTTTGTGGTTGAAATTTGAGGCTGAAAAGGGGGATTTATCTGTCTGTTTGATGTTTCAAGGTTTTGTGGTGGTTGCGGCATCACTGGCACGGAAAAATCTTTCCGCAGTAGCTTGCATCGCGCGACGGGTGATTGGGGCGAAGAAGATCGGGCGCCAAGCTGTCAGTCATGTCATGCAGCAATACGTGTGAATAAAAGCAAGGAGAAGATGAGAAGTGATGGAGGAAGAGGGGATAAAATAAGGCGTCGAGAATTCGGCCTTGAGTGGCCTACTTGCTGTTCTAGTGTTCTTCGCATCATATGCGTCAGTTAATCATAAAAAAAAAACCTACTGTCTGATCATTTGTACGATAGAGCGCACATCGCAGGAGGGTATCACGTGCGTCAGCAGGGAACAACGTTTACCCGACACGCGCACAACCTATCAAACCTCACAGCATGGTCTAGATAGCGAAGAATAACAAGAACAACACGATCATCGATCAAAGACCCAACTGAGCCTCAGTTAACCTATCCACACTGATCAGTTGTTACCTTGGCTGGTAACCTCAGAGCAGCAAGATAGAAGAGACTTCCTCAACGCATCCTCACGATCTGTGGCGCTCTGCGAAGAAAGAAGTGCTACAACGCGAGACTGACTACGAAGACCCGACCGGCGCCCACTCTATTCAGTCAACCGTGCCTAGTTGTTTGCCTCAGCCGCTGACCTCTTAGGCGTGCCCTATCGCACATACAAATCTCTGGTATCCCGCTTGATTATCAGCTTCATTGATCACTCTCGATCAATTTGACCCTCTCTTGACACCTTCTTGCCCTATTCCCTCGCAGATTTTCCTGTCAAGCCCCATCCGACATCATGAGCAGCAGCGCAAGCGGCACCAGCGCGAACGCGAACGCACCGGCGCTCGACATCAACGAATTCCTCGATATTGCTGAATTCAACCGTGGCCTCGCCACAATCTTCAACATGGACCTCTTCAACACCCCAGTCAACGAGACTTCCGATGAGATCCACTATAATACCTTCGTTCTCGCCCGCATCGTTGATTATAAAGTCTCCTCAACATGTCAAGGTCTCGAGCTGCTTGGATCATTCCAAGAAGACTTTGAGGATTGGGAGGAAGACGACTTCAAGAAGGTCGATCCAAGGGTCCGTAAGGTCCTACGGAATACCCTAAGGTTCAGAGGAATCTATACAGGAAAGCTGAACGCAAAGATCACGGCATTCCTAGTAAATCTGAAGAACCGTGACCGACTTCCTGAGTGGGATGAAGACGATCTTCGTGATGCCATCTTATACGAGAAAACGGCCGCCTACCGACGCCAACAAGAACTCCTCAGACGATCGCCATCGCTAGCAACAACCCCAGCACCAACCCCAGCACCAACCCCAGCACCAGTCACTCCCGATCTAAACCTCCCGCAAGACCCCCCCAATGACCAATCCCTACCCCTGTCACGATCGAATCAACAGCAGCAGGAACTTATGATCAGACCAGCTATCGACCGCGAAGCTTACCGGACCGTGCCCCAGTCCAGGTCCCCAATGAAGACCTCGATCCTGCCATCGCCAACCAGTTTTCTAAGCTATGGGATCAAAGCTCAACTATTCAGGTGACGCCTACGATATCCTAGATGATAAGATCCGTTACTTTCTCGATGCCTGCCTCACAGCTAGCATCAAACCGTCACAATTCCACGCTTTGTTCTCAAATATCCTCACGAAGAGAGCAAAGAACTTCTTCGTGCATCAAGTCAGCCGCGATTCAACGTTCGCGGAGATGTATCAGAAGATGAAGCAGCACTTTGATACGGAAGTCAATAGGCAACAGTATCACACTGACTGGACCTCGATCAATTTCACACAGCTTCGGAAGGAATCTCGAGAAGCCTCTCTGTGAAATCCTCCAGGCTCTTCTTGACAAATTGCAGCTATGCCAGAGAGCTCTTGGGAATAGCTATGGCGGCGAAGACCAGCTAATTTCAACGACAATTCGAGCATGCCGTGGCGTGCCTGAATTAGAATTCGCCCTCTTCGTGCCGGCTAAGACCTTCGAGGGACTATCTTCACAGCTAAGATCGTCACTCACAACCGTCAGCCAAAGACAGCCCGGACAGCCCAGTCAATATCTTCAAGATCAAGACCAATTCTTTACTGACCGCCGCTATCAGCACCCCGCTGACAAAAGGAAGAAGTGGACGAAGCGCTGCTACGTCTGCGGCAAAGAAGGCTGTTTTTCAACGAAGCATCCGGATGACGAGAGAAAGAGGGCCAGGAAAGATATCTTCGAGAACGAGGATTTCACGGCCAGAAGTCATCTTCCGTCCATTTACTACGTTCCTTGCCGATTACGAAGGGGACCCAGATGAAGATCAGACCTCTGATTCTGCTGACGATGACTCTGACGATCAAAGCGATAGCTTCTTTGCAGCTGCCTTCCTATCTAATAGAGCTTTTCGCCACCGCATTCACACCGTCGAGGAGAATCGATATGCGAGGAATCACAGCATTTCTTGCTCGATCGCTACAACCGGACCTCTTTCAAGGATCCTGCCTGACACGGGTGCAGCGAAGATATCTACAGCTGGGATCGACCAATTCCGCGCGCTCCAACGAGAGATGCCGACGGTCCAGCTACGGAAGAATGCGACGATCGCAACGGTCAGATTCGGTGGAAACGAGCCGACGAACACGATCGGGATCACAACAGTCATTACCCCGATTGGAGAAGTCGTTTTCCACGTTATCAATATGTCAACGCCCTTCTTGCTATGCCTCAAGGATATGGACCGTCTCGGTGCCTATCTCAACAACGTCACGAACGAATTGATCTGCGGCGATAAGAGGATTCCGATCGTACGCAAATGGGGTCATCCGTGGTTCTTCCTACGGAAGGATGAAGCCGCTATTGCCTTCCTATCCGAAGCCGAGCTTCGGCGCCTACACACTCGCTTTGGCCACCCGTCAGTACACAAGCTACATAAGCTACTGACAAGCGCTGGGCATGATGTTGAATTCGAAGCAATCGCGATGATCCGAAAATTCTGTCATTTTGCCAGATCAAGGCAGACGCACCGCGCAGGTTCAAATTCACGTTAAAGGATAACTGCGATTTCAACTACGAATTGATCGTCGATGTAATGCATCTTGACAGCCGGCCAGTCCTTCATGCCGTTGACCTAGCAACCTCTTTCCAAGCCGGACGATTTCTTCAGAATATATCGGCTAAAGAGACGTGGGAAGCACTCAAATTGTGTTGGATTGACACATACCTAGGCCCTCCAGATGTTATCACGCACGACGCTGGTACGAATTTTGCCTCCTCTGAGTTCCAAGCAGAAGCGAAGCTGCTAGGAATAACCTGTCACCAAGTGCCCGTCGAAGCCCACTGGTCAATTGGCAAGGTGGAGAGATATCACGCCCCGATTCGAAGGGCATACGAGATCTTGAAAGCCGAGCTAAAAACAGCATCAGCTGAGTCGTTGCTTCAAATGGCCTTCAAATCCGTCAATGATACCGCCGGACCTGACGGTCTAGTGCCCACACTACTAGTCTTTGGTACCTACCCTCGGATAACGATGGATTCGCCGCCTTCTGCTTCCGCGATCACACGTGCGAAAGCCGTGACGAAAGCTATGGCAGAGCTACGCAAGCTTGTAGCTAAAAGGAAGGTCAATGACGCCCTCAATGCCCGTAATGGGCCCAACACGATTGAGAAGATGCCACTATCATTGCCGCTTGGTAGTGAAGTTCGAGTATTTCGTGAGAAAGGAGGATGGAAAGGCCCATACAAGGTCCTAGCTGTGACAGACACAGAGGTCACAGTTGAGCTGACAACGGGCCAGCTAAATTTCGCAGCACGGCTGTCCAGCCCTACTTTCGCCACCCGGATTCGCAGCAGCAACGAAGTCACAATGTTCTACAGCAGCCACACGCTGACAATCAGACTGCTGACAATCAGGCTGATAGCATCAACGTTGAGACCGAAGTGCCTAAGCCATTCGAATATCCTGAGCCGGAGAGACCACGCAGACGTGGCAGACCAAGAAAAGTCCTCGAGATCAGCAGCAATACGATACCTTCGTTCCTTCTAGTTATTTCCTTAGTCTTAGCCCTTTTCGTTACCTCGATCTCAATTTTCACCCGCTAATATGTTTCTATCGCATAAGGAGTGCGCCGCCCTCGACCTTGCCGTAAAGTTACGTGCAGAGAAGAAAATCACTACCGCCGGACGACCGTTTGAAGCCTCTGATGACCTCGAAATCACGAACCTGCTAGGCGCAGGCGTCATCGTGCCCGAACGATACGATATGAATAAGCATGGAAAACACAGGCTATTCAAGTCACGAATGGTCCGGGAGGTCAAAGGCAAGAACACTGCTACACCGTACGAGAAGTCTCGTCTTGTGGTACAAGGATATGGTGACGACGAGAAGCGTGAGATCCTCACGCAGGCTCCAACAATCTCCCGTCCTGCCCAGCGGGTAGTACTCGCTCTTTCCCTTTCCTTTGCTCTTTGAAGATGTCTCTTGCTATCCGAGACATTACGATGGCCTATACGCAGGCATCGACCACTTTGAATCGCACTATCCTCATCTCTTTGCCACACGAATTAAAAGAGAGATACCCAGGGGGAACCATCCTTCGTGTGGTCAAGCCATTGTACGGAATCGCTGAAGCAGGCGCTCATTGGTTCAATACGTATCATGAGCATCACCGCATCAAGCTACAGATGGAGCCGTCAACGTTTGATCCATGTTTAATGATAACGACCGCAGAGATCAACGTCACGACCGCAGAGACCAACGCGGATACCGCACTTCAGGTTAATGCCTTCGGCGTTGCCGCGCTTCAGACTGATGATACGTTATTGGTAGGCACAACAACATTCCTGCAACGTGAAGACCGCGAGCTATGCTTCAAGCCAAGCCAAAGAAGACCCTACGAGAAGGCGATACCTGTGATTTCAACGGCAGCCTCATTGCTCTAGAGAAGGGCTATCTTCTAGTCATGCAGAAAGGTCAGGTCAACAACCTCAAAATTATCGATCTATCCACGGAAGATCGGGCCCAACGATACGTGGAACAACGTGCCCGTGGCGCCTATATAGCCTCAATTTGTCAACCAGAGGCTAGCTTCGATTATTCAATCGCGGCACAATCACAAGATCCAACCGCGGAGGATTTTCAGGCGTTGAATAAACGGATCCAATGGCAGATCGACAATCCACAAAGAGGCCTTCGATTCGTCCCAATAGGTCTAGAAGCAGCAAAGGTCTTCGTCTTCACAGACGGATCATTCGCCAACAACAAGGACTTAAGCTCTCAGATCGGATTCGTTATAATCATTGCAACCGAGACTAAGTCAGATGAGTCATTCACGATCCACGGAAACCTGATCCATTGGAGCTCGACGAAGTGCAAGAGAGTCACCCGCAGCGTCTTGGCTTCTGAGATATATGGATTAGCTTCAGGCTTCGATTTGGCATATGTGGTTGCAGGACGATCAACCAGATTACAAGCCGCCTTGGATTACCGCAAATCCCGCTCGTTGTGTGTACAGATTCGTACAGCCTGTACGAGTGCCTAGTGAAGCTTGGCACCACCACGGAGAAACGTCTGATGATCGATATCATGGCGTTGAGACAGGCCTACGAACAACGCGAAATCACCAACATCCGCTGGATCAACGGAGCGGATAACCCGGCCGATGCAATGACGAAGCTATCTCAAACGGGGCCTTAACCCGATTCGTTAACGACAACGAGATCACGATCCGGCTCGAAGGCTGGGTTCAAAGGAAGGAAGATATGACCGCATGATTGACGATTTTGATTTAAGCTTGCTATCGATTGTTCCTTTGTGTTGAGATACCCGTTTTACATGTTGTTTGGGTGTTACGTTTAGTGCGTTTTGTTCGATTCTTAAAGAGATGCCAGTGTCTGATCATTTGTACGATAGAGCGCACATCGCAGGAGGGTATCACGTGCGTCAGCAGGGAACAACGTTTACCCGACACGCGCACAACCTATCAAACCTCACAGCATGGTCTAGATAGCGAAGAATAACAAGAACAACACGATCATCGATCAAAGACCCAACTGAGCCTCAGTTAACCTATCCACACCTACAGAGTATCTAAACATCTAGAACACAAATTATGGCGATGTCTACGGTCCGAGTCGAGTTCATATGCCAATTTGGCGCCAGGCAACTCATCCACAACCATAGCATTCCTCGGAGCCTTGTGACGGAGGCAAACGGGGCCGGCGGAGATGCTGAATACAACGAGCGATTTACACAGTCCATGATGCCTCTTATGAAGGAGCACGAATCAGCATGTCGCAGTGCGTCGGGTGCTTTCTGCGAATGCTGCGGGCGGTTTGCGACAGACATCTTACAGAGTCCGATATCGATGCTGCACGCAGACGAGGCTCGCATTGTGGTTTGGGTCACATCGTTATGTGGAAGAGGGCAGTGCGAGGTAGAAATGAGACAGGAAATGCAACTAGTAATGGGGGAAATGCGGCAGGAGGAGGAAAGGCGAGATAAGTTTCTAGGACGCAATAGGTGCATGGAGGTCAGGCTGTGCAAAATATGCGGGACGACCGTGGGAGTGAAGCGGTGCAGTAGATGTCACGCAGTGGCATACTGCGGCACGGAGCATCAAAAGGCGGACTGGAAGGTTCACAAGAAGGCGTGCGTGCCCCGAGAGGCTCAACAGACACGGAAAGTGTGGAAGGAAACGATGACTAGAAGCGAGGTCGTAGAGGGGGTGGTGGAATATAGCAGTTCGGTTTTTATATGTGCTGAGAAGTAAGAGCACATAGTAAGACAAAGGGGTAAAATTGGGTTGTTCTCTGCATAAAGAATATATTAGCAGACTTTTATTTCACATAACTAGATAAGATATATAGCTATTCCGTTTCTGCTGTTTTTCTACTTAGGTGACGGTTTCGAAGCGGCCTAGTCGGCGAGTCTGATGTGCAGGCGACAATTGAATTAAGGAAGATGCCGAGGCATTCTCCGAGGCAGGAGTCTGACCGGCTGTTTCCGGATCGCTAATATGGGAAGCCGCTAAGAGGGAGCAGGATCGGGTAGCAGAGCCCCCAGTATCGGTAGAAGACGAAGGTTTCGGGGTCGTCAGGCGCGGTCTCTTCGTCGGCGTGCCGGCAGGGTCAGGACAGGGACGCTTCTGCGAGGGTGTAGCTAGGTCGGCCAAAGTAGAAGTTGAAGCAGAAGTTATTAAAGCCGAAGGTGGAGGACTTGGCGGGAGGGTACCAGGTGTTGCCACGGAGTAAGAGGCAGCGAGTATATCCCGGAAAGCGGCCGAAGCGGAGGACGGTTTTTCCTTTAGTGGTGTCGAGATAGCCGAGGACGAGGCAGCCGCAGTGCTGGTGGCCTTATCGAGAAAAGTCCAAGAATCCGGGACGACGATAAAGACATAGTCTCGGTCGGAGCCTGGGGGATGAATCATGACGCGGTGACTGAGCAGGCCAGCAACTTTGCCTGTGCAGGTAAAGGGGATGCTGGGCTGAAAGTAAGAGTCCTTCCTCTCGGCCATCTTCTTACATAGTATAGCCCAGGGTTAGCGTGAATGGGGAAGATAACGAAGACCTCGAATTGGTGGAAGCCTCTGAAAGGGATCTTGTCGGGAATGCCAGGAGCTAGATACGTAGAGAGCTGGACGAAGCCGCAGCAATTTAGCTGGGCGGCGTCTAGGTCTGGCAGAAGGTCTTGTCGTAGCAGGGAGTGACCCGGGCCAAGGATGAAGCCGGTGAAGGAAACGATAGGCGGGATGCAAGGGAAGTTATCCATAGAGGCGAAGAGTCTAGGGAGGATGCTAAGAGGACAAATCAGCCGGACCTCTCGCCCGAGAGCCGAGAGCGGTACGCGCTAGGGTAAAATGGCACGCCTTACGGCTGGTAACCCTGGTCGCGGACGACGAGGGCGGGCATGGTGTAGATAAGGGTGTCGCCAGTTTCAGACTCTAGGCCGTCGCGCTGCTTAACCTCCCAGGCAAGGGCGTAGGGTGGACGCGGCCGTTCATAAAAACCATTCCTCAGACCATTCGGAGGCGATAACAGGCTGGTTGTAAATAGAGATTGAGACTGAAGAAGATGGATGTCGGCGAGTCGTCGGTATCCAATCGGAGCGGCGCATATTCCGCGGTGAGCAACCATGAAGGAGGTGGCAAAAGATGCGGGCAATGGTCTCGGCGTTGAGACCTCTAACGCGATGCTCGTCCTGATGGGGAAATCTCGAGGGCAGTCGGGCTGGACGAAGAACATCATAGACATATCACCACCCGCGCCTTTCTGGCTATCGAGCGGCTTTCGAAGGTGTGGTGGAGGTAGCGGTGACGAGGAAGACATCGTGCATATCTATGTTGGCTAATAAGTGGTTTGTGCGCCTAGAAAATGATCGGTATAAGTCGTTAAGAAGGAAGTAAGAGGTGGAGAATAAAGCGGCCTTTTTTATAAATCCAAGGTATTATAGAACCAGTGGGGAGAGCGAGAAGCTTTGCCATGGCAAGTTTGAATTTTGATAAGGATGCGTGGTGCATAATAGCTCTTGACCCGACGAGTAAGCCAACGAGTAAGCCACACGAAGAGGCGGTGTGGAGAAGGTTGCCTGTTAGAATGGAACGGAAATTTAGGGAAGACTGTCTTGGGAGCTATCGTGCCGGGTGAGCTGAATCAGATGGCAGGGCTATTCCTTTTTCCGTTGCAGCATAGGTAGCGAAGAAAAGAAAGTCTAATTTGATGTTCCTTGAAACGCATACCTGCAACGACAGATTCGGAAGATGCGGAGGAGAGCAGAGTAGTAGAAGGCGGCCTTAGATGGAGTTGCGGTGTGTATTCCTATGCATGGGCTGGTCGAGGCCGTCCGGAAAGGATGGACGGACGGTGGTAGGGTGGTGAAGGGGAGAAAGGGGGTTCTCGCGGATAAGCATTGCCGCGTCGGCTCAGTGCTAAAAAGATCACAGGGTTTAGTTATAGGAAGGATTGGTAGGAAAACGCCAACACGGCGGACCATTATTGTTAGGAGGCGAGATAATATTGAAGAAAGATCCGGGGGCAAACTTTTATGGTCCATCATCCGTGTGCAGAGCCGCGGCGTTAAGATAGCATCGACATGGGAGAGAGTTCTCGCTGCGAGGTTCGGTCGGTAGAGGGAGAAGGTGAAATGGTGATGGGAGCAGCGGCCGTTGCTGCGACGAGAAATGTCGCTGCGGCGAGATTGAGCGCAATGGATGATTCGCTAAAGCGGGTGTCGGGATATAAGAGACAGGCAAACGTGGCATCCAGGTTTCGGCCCATCATGGCCAAGCAGGGGCTGGTCGAGGAGGTCTCGCGAGGAGAACAAGCGGAAGCGCTTAAAGAGCGTTGCCCAAGAGAAGCCGGCGAGGCGGTCGGCGGCCAAAGGGAAAATCAGTATTGAACGATGGCATTTCGAAGGCGGCCCCATCACGACTTTCAGCACCGATAAACGTGGGTGATGATAAGCTAGTGAGCATGGAGACGGACGTTGCCATGCAAGGGTTGGGTGCGAAGCCGTGTGGAGGGAGTCTTGTGCCGTCCGTCGGCGGTGTGTTGCAGCGCGAGGGTAACGACCCGATCACCTACCGGCACCTCTTGCCCAAGGAGGGGAGGGCTGGGGATGATGAGAGGAGGGCAGCGACCACGGTAGGTCTGGAAGCACCATGTCCTCCGGAAGCCTTAGTCGGGCGAGAAGACGGCCTAGACAGTGGGAGATGGTCCGGCGTGGCCGTAAGTGGCTCTGAGACGGTTAGGCGACCCAGCGGTAGCGAACTGACGAGGCCGAAAGGTCTCGTCGAGCGGACAGGTGGTGTGGGGGGAAAACGCCGGGTTGGAAGACCGATAACGGTGATGAGATTTCGGCTGGAAGGCGGGAGCCAGCATTCGCCAAGGCCCATCCGATCCAAAGAGATGGAGAATACGGCCGGACCTGCGCCTGCTCTTATGAGATTTCGATTGGAAGGCGGGAGCCAGCATTCGCCAAGGCCCATCCGACCCAAAGAGATGGAGAATACGGCCGGACCTGCGCCTGCTCTTATGAGATTTCGATTGGAAGGCGGGAGCCAGCATTCGCCAAGGCCCATCCGACCCAAAGAGATGGAGAGTGCGCCGGGAGCTGCGCCTGCCCCCCCTGAGGAGGCCGGATTATCACACGCCGGGATCGCGGAGGGCGTGCAGATCGGCACGTCTGGAAAGCGGAACGATAGGGCGCGGACGAGGCAGAAGGGCGAGGATACTCTAGCAGCCCGGGAAGGAAAGGTCGGCCGGCAACGGTCGACAGTGTCCGGCCTATCGAGGCGAAGCAGGCGCTGGCGGCCGAGGAGATCTCACGAAGAGAACAAGGGGATGCATTGAAAAGAGCGTTGCCTAGGGGAAGTCGGCCAGGTGGTGGGCTGCGGGAAAAGGCGATGCACGTGAATGGCGCCGCCTTGAAGGGAGGGCGAGCGCGACGCTCGACACCGATAAATGTGCGTGAGAGGCGTACGGACGAAGGACCGAAGCGGGTGTTGGGCGACGAAAGTCAAGCGGACCCGGCACCTAGGTTCCGGCCTATCCAGGCGAAGCAGGCGCCGGCGTCCGAGGAGGGTTCACGAAGAGAGCGGGTAGAAGCAGTCGAAAGAGCGACGCCTCTAGGAAGCCGGCGAGGCAGTCGGCCGCGGGATAATAGGACGCGCGTCCATGGTGCTTCTTCAAAGGGAGGGCAAGCGCGATGTTTAACAAGATTTCGGCTAGAGAATGTAAGCCAGCACTCGCCGCAACCCACCGTCGCCCGGCCAATTCAAGCGAAAGCGATAGGAGACAGAGCAGGAGATCTGCAGTCATCCGGGCGGTTATTACCACGGCCGTCACGCCTGGCAGGGCAGGATCGGCCGGCAGGGGCGGTCGGGATTTCGTCCACGGCCGTCAGGGAGCCCCTCGTTCAGCCAGTCGAGCCTAAAGAGCCGGGAGATGGAGCCGGAGATACACAATCACCCGGACGGTTGCTACCACGACCACCACGCGGGGCAGCGGTGGGAGGAGGATCGGCCGAGGCGAGTCGAGGCGGTAGCGAGATCTTCGGAGTCCGTGGAGCAGAGAAAGAGGATCGGCGAGCCCGACCGAGACGAGCTGCCAAGAAACGTATTCGAGGCGGCCGTCGGAGGCAGAGGAGAAGTGAGCTACAGGCGGAAGATCTAGCCAGCGTCCTACGTTACCTGGAAGACGAATTTGCCGCCAAGGAGAGGCTGTCCAAGGAGCAGACTTGGTGCACACCAGTGCCGCATGAGAGGAAGGTATCGACGGTGCGAAGTTTTTATCGGGCGTTCCACGATGCGGCCACCTTGCCGATACGGGCATGTATGCTGTGCTACCGCAAGCGTTCGAGGACGGAGCTTAAGGAGATGCCGTGGGATCGGTGGCTGTCGAGCCCCGTCCCTAAGGGTGAGGGCTCGCCGTTCGCGTGTCGGAGTTGCTTCCGTGAGGGCGAGTCTATCGTGGTCTGCGCGGAGTGTCATCGAGGGCTGGCGCGTGGGGTGCTGTCGCCGGCGGCCCAACTTCATTGTCGCCTCGGTTGTGAGCATATGCTCCTGATGAGCTCAAGGGCTCACGCCAGTGGAGGAGAAGCTGATTGCGCTAAACTCGTGTTACGGGTTCGTCACGAGGTATAGCGTCCCGGGCGGCCAGAAGCAGACGCTGAGGTACCCAAGCACGTCAAGGGCCACATCACGGTGTTTCCGAACAATGTACAAGAATTGGTGACGAAAGTGCTGCCGCACCCTCTCCTGCAGGTGATGGACGAGATCCACATCTCGTGGCAGGGGGCGGTAAAGCCGACACCGAGCGACCTATCGAGTCTCTTGTCTGTGAGGCGGCGCGTTGTCGAGAGGGCTCTTGTTTGGCTGAAGAGAAACAACCCACACTATGCCGAGATCGAGATCGACGCGGCTGAGATGGAGAGCTGGGGAGAGTCGGCCCACGGGTGCCGCCGTCGGTGTACGGGCGCCTGGAGCGGAACGAGCCGTCGGCATGGGAGAAGACGCGGACGGCGCATATCGTGCCGCCCACGGAGCGGGCCATGGACGACGAGGGCGCGGTAGAGATCGAAGAAGTCCTGTCTCTGCTCAACCAAGGGGGAGGAAGCGCGACGATTCTCGAGGACGACGAGCCAGAGTCAATCGAGGTAGACGAGGCGCGTGGTCAGAGCGGCGACGAGGCTAATCACGATGCGGAGACGATCAACGAGGTAACCTCGTCGGGAATGTTTGCGTTAGACGGGCCGCCCGACGTCGCCGACGTGGATAAATTGCGCTTCGCATGTGATGCCGTCCGCGAAGGGGCGGGCGACGACGGCGGCGCGGGTCCGAGGACGTGGGTGGAAACCTCGGCAAGGGGGCAGCCAGGGCACGCCGATGGTTCCGAACCGTATATAGGCGTTCGCCGCGGCGATGACTTCGCCGACTCGTTCGAAGCCTCCTTTTTCGCGAAGACCTTTCCAATCTGTTGCCATTTGGCGTCGGAGGGCCGCGACCGGTCGAAGAAGCAGCCGTACAACTAGGCAGAGGCACCGCCGACATACGCGAGCGGGAGGCCGCGACGCGAGAGCTCGTGTCGTCTCGGAACATGAGCCTTCGGACCTGGGCCGACACGGTGTTACGACGCCACGGTGGCCGGTTCGCGACGCACCACATCTTCGCCTTCCTCGTCTTTAATATAGGCGTGCGGTCGAGGAACCGCCGCGTCAGCATGCTAAGCGTGACGAGGAAGAACTTCCGCAAGGTGGAGCGCATCGTACGGTCGCTAACCGCGGACGGATTGGCGGCGGCCAGGGCCGAGCTAGAGAGCACAGGCAAGACGACCGATGATGCGGTGAAGGAGCTGCTCAGGAGCCTTTCGCTGTATGGGTATCGTCAGCCCATGTCGAGGGAGGTCCGTCTCGGGATGCGGCATAGGATCCTGGCGCTCATCGTCCGTTACGGCGTGCCCGCCATCTGGTTCACGATCAACCCAAACGACATCACGAATCCGGTAAAGCTCCGACTAGCAGCGTACCGCGCGCGCGACCCCGAAGCGGCCGAGGAGTTCCTACGAAGCCTCGATAAGGCGTTCAAACGTGTGCGGCTGTCCGTGTCCGACCCGATGAGCTCGGCCGTCTTCTTCCACCGCGAGATGACGCTGTTCTTCGAGCATTACGTCAATGCCGGGGGGGAGTCGGTCTTCGGCCGCGTCAGCCAGTATTATGGCGCCGTGAAACGAACGAGCGAGGCTCCTCCACGTGCACGGGCTGCTCTGGCTCGAGGGAAACGCCCACCTCAGCTCGATGCTTGCCGACTCAGACGGCGGGGAACAAGCGGCATACCGCGAGCGAATCGTCCGCTACGTCGATAGTGTCTTCAGCGAGGTAAGGAACGGCGGGGCGTCGTACGAAATAGTCGTGGGAGAAGAGGACGCGGGCTGACGCGGGGAAACTAGGACCTGGACCAGGAAGGGTTCTGCGCCGTCGAGGCAGAGCGTTCGGTGACGTCCGATATCTCGTCCCTGCTGAACAGGGCCGATCAGTTCTCGGCCTCGTTCGAGGAGGAAGCCAACTTCTGCGCCGGCGCGACCCAGATCCATACCCACAGCCCGACATGCGTCAAGTACTCCCTCGGCAGCAAGGGGCGGAAGGGCGCCGACCTCTGTCGCTTTAAGGCACCGTGGAGCGGGTCGAGGAGACGACCCTGTCAGCGGACGGCGTGCTGCGGATCCGCAGAACACATCCCATGGTGAACCGGTGGAACAAGGCCATCGCCGTCGGGCTCCGTCACAACCACGACATTTCCTTTATAGCGACGCAGCGGAAGACCATGGCGCTCGTCTACTACGTGACCAATTACGCGACTAAGGTGGAGGACCCGACGTGGAAGCGCGTCGCCGCCGCCGCCGAACTGCTGCCCGTCGTGTCGGCCGGTAGTCAGCCGGGTGCCGGGGATGACGTAAGTAGCGGCGTCGTCGGCGACGGCGATGGAAGGAAAAACAAGACGCGGCAGTTTCTCATGAGAGTGGCGAATCGGGTGTTCACGGAGCGGGCGCTGTCGCAAGTCGAGGTCGTCGCCCATCTGCTGGGACACCCGAGCGAGTTCTCGGGAAGCAGCGCCTGGGCGTACCTGAACGTGTCGGTGCTATACTGGCACGTCTCGAGGCTCTGGCGACACCTTCGGCAGCAGAGCGGCACCGCGGCGGTCGAAGACGTGTCCGTCGCGGACGAGTCGGTCGTCGTCGAACAAGCAGGCGAGAGGATCAGTTTCGCCGAGGCCTATCATCATCGCGGACATGTCCTACGAGGCTTGTGCCTATACGACTATGTTTCGCTCGTCAGGCTCCAACGCGTCGGCAAGGCCGGCTGCTCCGGCGGCTGGGGAGAGGTGCCGTTCGAGGGCGGCTGGGTGGCCGGTAAAGACTGGGTCCAGGTGCTAAGGCGGCCGGGAAAGTACGCCGTCGTCTGCCTCGACGGCTACCTAAGCAAGGATTTCGAGCAGGACGACGAGGAATCGGCTCATCGCAGGTAAGTGCGGGCGGGCAAAGTGGCCGAGTGAAGAGAGGGGGGGTTGCGACGCCGCGGGGGGCTGGCTGACTTACACTTATTGTGCCGTCGCAGGGCTGCCGTCCAGCATCTTGCGCTATTTGTGCCGTGGGAAGCCTTTCTCGGCGAAGAAGAAGGGGACATCAATGAGATATGGAGGCGGGCGCGAGAGCTGCTTCCGCCGAGAATCTCGTGCCTCGTCGACAACGTTCAACTGCTCCGGCGGTCCGCCGAGGACGCGAGGCGAGACGCCAAGCAGTGGGCGGCCTCGGGCGGCGCCGGGGATTGCGCCGGCGCTCTCGGCGAGGCGGGGGAGGGGGAGGAGGGGGGGCGACACCCGGGGGACGACGACGCGGCCTCGGCGTACCAGGCCGACAACGTCGGAAAGGCAACGCGACTAATCGACGTCGTCCGAAGCGCGGCCGGGGCGAACCAGATCACGGCGGGATCGCGCGAGCTCTCGGTATGATACAGCAGCTGTGCCGCTTCCAGCAGTCAGCGCTGGCCTCGACCGCCGAGCTCGAGGCCTCCATCGTCAGGGAACGGGGCGGGAGGCGCATCGACTTGCCGGGGCGGGTCTTTTCCGGGGCCGCGGTGCCGCCGCAGGACCAGGTCAAGGCCATCAAGTCGCAGCAGACGAGCGCCTCGAGGGAGAGGGTGAAGATGATACAGGGTATACAAAGCATGGCCACGGCCCACGGCACCGATCGTGGCGCGGCGGAGCGGAGTGTGCTGACCGGCTTCGGCGAGGAAGGCGTGCAGATAACGGCGGCGGAAGCCGAGGAGACGGCGGGTAACGCCGAGGCCGGCATGGAAGTCCGCCTCGGCCCGTCGACCTCGTTCCTCGAGGCCGGAAAAGGCTTGACGAGACGCTTGACGCTAAACAGGAAACAGGCCATCGCCTTGTCCATAATATGCCGCCACCTTGACTTGATGCGGCGAGGAGACGGAGGGGGCGACGTCAGCCAGCTCTGTCAGTTCGTCGGCGGCGAGGGCGGTACCGGCAAGTCGCGCGTCATCGAAGCACTCGTCGGCCTCTTTGCCGCTAAGGGCATCTCGAGCCGGCTGCTGATCACGGCGACGTCGGGGACCGCGGCGGCCCGGGTCAACGGTATCACCATCCACTCCGCCTGCGGCTTCACCAGGACCAAGGGCCGGGCGCGAACACGGCGAGGAGGTCGACGGCGTACGGCTGCCGAGGCAGGCGGAGCGGTTCGTCGACGGCGAGTCCCGCATGGACTGGCAGGACAAGGAGGTGCTCGTCATCGACGAGGTAAGCATGCTCGGCGCGCGCACGCTGCACGCCGTCAACGAGCGGCTCTGCCAGCTGCGGGGGTCGCAGCGGGACTTCGGCGGGATCCCCATCGTCCTCTTCTGCGGGGACTTCCACCAGTTCCGCCCGGTCCAGGAAAGGTCGATCCTACTGCCGAGCTCGGCCGTCTCGTGGGACGAGGACTACTCGTTCAGGGCCGAGCAGCGCCACCAGCACGACAAGGCGCACGCGCTGTGGAAGCGGTTCACCACTGTCGTCATGCTGGACGAGCAGATGCGCGCCGCCGGCGACCCGGAGCTGCAGAGGCTGCTAAAGCGGATCCGACTGGGCGTGCAGGATCACACCGACCTAGACCTCCTTAACTCAAGATGCTACCGGGAAGGCAGGCGAATCCCGTGGGAGACAGGCATCACCGTGGTCACGCCGCTAAATAGGAACCGGTGGAATCTCAACATGGAGGCGAGCTTAGCATTCCAGATGCAACGACGTTTGACGATACGCATCTTCATCTCCGAGCATAAGTGGAAGGAGGGGCTGCCGACCGAGGAAGAGGCCATCATGATGCTAAACCAGGGCGACGACAGCGCGACCCCAGTGCCGGGCGTCTTTATGTTTGTGGCCGGGATGCCGGTCGTCGTGAACCACAACACCCACCAGGGGCTGAAGCTGGTGAACGGCGCCAGCTACACGGCGGCCGAGGTCATCGTCGACAAGGTGCACCCGGCGCATCGCATCTCGGCCGATATGGCGATCCACTTCGGGCCGCCGGCGGCGATCATACTAGGGTCGGAGACGACTAAGGACTTCCACTTCGTCGGGATGCCGCCCGGCACGATCCTGCTGACGCCTATGAGCGTCAGGATCCAGTGTCACCGGAAGCGACCGTGGCAGCAGAAGGAGGTCACCCGCAAGGGCCTGCCGTGCGCCGCGGCCTTCGCGTGCACCGATTATAAGGTGCAGGGCGGGACGCTCGAGCGTGTCGCGCTCGAGCTGCGAGGGACGAGGACGACAAACGTCGGTGGACGTGCCGTCCCCTCGCAGTGCGACCCTTACAGCCTATACGTGCAGCTATCGCGGTGTCCGACGCTAGACGGCATCATGCTCATATCGGAGGTGCGAGAGAGAGACTTCGTGGGAAACCGGGTCCCCCGGGAGATGACGGCCGCACAAGCGAGGCTCGAGGAACTGAGTGACAGAACCGTCCGGGAGGCGCTGCGCTGGCTCGGCGACGACTTCGAATACGCGTAGGAATAGTGAACCCTTCGACAGGCACAAATATGAATGAAATGACATCGGACGTTAGACGCGGGAAACGGTGCAATTGTCTGGCTACCCGTTGATCTTGGTGTGGGGCCACAGCAGCCCAACTAAGTGTCTTCGCCACTTAGTTGGCCCAAAAAATCCGGCACAGCCCAAAAAATCCGGCACAGCAGCCCACCTCCAAAACGTCAACCCTATGCATCTCAACCGCGTTTTCTCGCGCAACTTGACTTTATTTACGTATCTTTTTGCCGGAATACATTATGACAGATAACATGGCTACCCTGGAGGCAGCAAAGCCGTTCTGGCGTCTCGTCGCGACCCCAGAGCCGATGTTCGTCGCTCAACAACACCAAAAGAACGCCTCTTTCCGTGCGAGATGCGGCCATCCGTTACAATGTGAAGAGCTCATCCGTACAGAGAGCCATTAATTTCATAAGAAACCCCTTTCCCGTGCTCCAGGGCGTCCATTGGCGCTGACGGAGGACGAAGACGACGCCCTGGTTGCGTATGTACAGTGGATGGAACGCACCGGCATGCCCGCCACGAGAGAGCAACTTGAAGCTGTTGCAAATGCAATAAGAATGCGTCGAGATCCCAATGCCCGCCCGGTCTCGTCAAGTTGGCTTGACAATTGGCGTGGAAGTCATCCTGCGATCGCGAAGACGTATCTCAAAGCAGTTGAACGAGCCCGGAAGTCCTTTGAAGCCCACGGGGTAGAAGAAGTCGAATTTTTCTACTCAAAGCTTCGAGAAATCATCACCAGCTACCGTATTGGCAGTTCAGAGATCTGGAATGAAGACGAGGCCGGAATACGCATTGGGTGCCTGCGAGAACGCATCCAAGTTCTCATCACGCGCACCACTAGAGTCAAGAGCACCCGGCCCCGAGTTTTAGACCCAGCAAACCGAGAATCCTGCACGGTAATTGCCTCAGTTAACGCAGTGGGGGACTCTCTTCCACCCTGGCTTGTTTTCCAACATTACCCTACCACCAACTGGGCCGGCATCGACATCATGACAGGCGTACGGTTTGCCCAGTCGCCAACTGGCTTTTCCAACGCAGAGATACACCTTGAGTGGGCAAGGCATTTCAACTGCTGGTCTTGGGCATCGTCAGCGCAAGCAAAACAGTCAGGAAATTCGCTGGAAGAGTGGTTCGGCTGTGACGAGCATCTTCGGCGCCCCAACATGGGGATGAGTCGCGTGGAGGCGCCGCCAAACCAACGGCCTGACGACGAGAAGATCTACCGATTGCTTGTTGTGGATGGCTTTACAGGGCATACCACCCTTGACTTTGCTGAGTATTGTATCAAGTTTGATATCATCATTGCTATTTTCCTCCACATTCCACCCACCTCATGCAGCCGCTTGATGTTGGGGTATTCCAGCCACTAAAGTCAGCACATCAGAAAGCGCTTCGGAAGTCGCTCGCAGAAGGCAACATATCATTTTCGCGGGTCAACTTCCTCACAGCTTTTCAGGACGTATATGAGGCTGGCTTCACGCGGCATAACATTATGGCGGCATTTGAAAAACAGGCCTCTTTCCTGTCGACCCAGCGCCGGTGATCACCAAGATCCTCCACGAGCAGCTACGACAACAGCAGCCGATCAATCCTGCATACGCCTCGCTCCTACCCTCGGAGACGCGTTTCCAAGTCGCCGCGGATGCCCTCAATGATATCCGGCAACGGTATGGGCCCTCATGAGCTCGCCATCACGAGAAAACTTGCGGGTTCTTGCGAAAGTGAACACCGAGTCTATCGCGATGGCGTCACATTCCCAGGGCATAGTCAGCGATAAGAATAGCCGAACCCAGGCGTATGCGAATCGAATGAAGAGAGGCAAGATTGTCAGGCCGCGCGGAGAGTTTATCACGAGCTCCAGCATGGCCGACATCACCCGGGAGTATGAGGAGCTCCAGGCAAAGCAAACCCGGCTTCAAACGCGCCAGGAGATAAGGATGCATCTTAAACGAGTTCGTGGAGAGATGCAGAAGATCCGAGAAGACTATAAAGTCGGGAAGAAGCAGTTAGTCAATGGCAGAGTCAAGACATTGAACTTTAAGCCCTGGCTAGAGTTTACGGGACGAGACGTTGAGTTCTACACTCTGGAGCAAAGTTGCGATACCTCATGCGGGAGCTCAAAGAGCCATCCAAGGAATCCTTTTCTATGATACCACGAAGAGAAATAACTCCGCCAGAGATGTCAGGGCGCGCGCAGCGACCTCGCCCACTTACAGATATGTCGTCGTTGCCCGGCAGTGACGATACCGTCTATTTCACAGGCCTCGATCTTGACAAACATAGTGAGGATGGCGCCGACGATGAAGACGAGGACAATTTACTCGACACGCAAGAGAATATACCCTCATCGCCGCCGTTAGCAGCGGTTGAAGCGGTAGTCGATACACCATGCCCTCGACCGCGCACCCGATCGTCCAACAAGATACAGCAGACGCTCCAGGAACACAGGTATGGATAAAATAGCTCTCAGAGACGCACAACAGGCGAAATTACTACATAATACGTCTATTTGGACTCACAAACGCGGTCTTCCTATCTCTTCGACTGGAAGGCGGCAGCTCCTAAATAGGCCCAAAGACGTGATTTTTCACTTTTCGTTGTTACTTGCGTCTTTAGGTGATCCGCAGCTATTGATCACATGTATATTTTAGCTATTTGAAGTCGCATTGACGGCACCATGAAGCGAAGCGTAGAATTTCCTTGATTTTGCACCCCAAATTGAGGACCCTGCTGTGCCGGATTTTTTGGGCTGTGCCGGATTTTTTGGGCCAACTAAGTGGCGAAGACACTTAGTTGGGCTGCTGTGGCCCCACACCAAGATCAACGGGTAATCGGAAAGCGCAATTTGAGCGGGAGCGGGAACAGTGGGAACAGCTGACGTAAATAAAAAAGAGTGACTAAGACGAGAAAAAAAAGGGGGGGGGAGAGGCGACGACTTTCATATATGGCCAACAGGAAAGCGGGATGAAAAAGGACACAAAAGAGGGGGGAAAAACAGGGGCAAACTTGTAGGCCAACCGAAAAGCAATCGTTCAAGACGAAAGAGGCAATTTTTCTAGCCAACGGGAAGCCGAGAAAGCTAGCGAATCAGAGGCGCGGATTCGGGGGGCAAAAAAGCGCGGCATAGAAATCCTTTCGTTCCTCAAGGCAAGAACCTTTCGTCACTCGTTCCTCGTTCCTCAAGGCATACATGGGCGCCCGGGCGCCCAAATAAAATTGCGCGCCCGGGCGCGCCACTAAGAACCGCAGACTGTCATTGGCCCATGAACACACGTATCGACCTCTGTTCACGCGCTCTGCAACTGTACCCTAAACCGCGACACAACACGTTGAGTCCAAGAGAATGAATTCAACGGGACCGACGACATTTGGCGATGATGCCCTCCCTCCGGAGGGCACGTACGAATCACGCGAATCTCTACTCAGCGCCATCAATTCTTGGGCGAAACCACGAGGATACGCATTCACGACGGGAAAATCTACGAAGACCCCTAACGGTCGGGTCAAAATCGTGTTCGCATGCGATCGAAATAAGCTGCCGCCCAGTACATTTATCGAACGAAAACGCCGCACTTGTAGCCGGAGAGCCGGATGCAAGTTCTCAGTACTGGCCAAACAGTCATTAGATGGAAGTACTTGGGTCCTTAGCCATCGACCAGATAAGGACTGCGCCCAGCACAATCATCCACCGAGTTCAGATGCATCTGTCCACCCAGCGCATCGCCAGCTTAACGAGAGAGACGCTGCAATTATATCAAATCTGACAACTGCTGGCACTGCTCCTCGAGATATCAGAACTTACCTCCATAATAATTCTGATACCCTCGCGACTCAGCAGGACGTCTATAACCGAATTGCGGCAACCAGGAGAGATCTGCGTGAAGGCCAAAGCAGTATACAAGCGCTCGTTGACCAGTTACATGAAGAGGGTTTCTGGTGTCAGGTTCGACTGGATTCAGACCATCGGCTTACAGCCATCTTTTTCGCCCATCCAGACTCTGTTGCCTACCTCCAATGCAACCCAGACGTCTTGTTGCTAGACTGCACCTACAAGACGAACAAGCACGCCATGCCGCTCCTCGACATGGTCGGAGTTGATTCTTGTCAGCGTTCGTTCTGCATTGCATTCGCATTTCTCTCCGGTGAATCAGAAGCGGACTATTCGTGGACACTTCATCACCTCAAATCACTCTACCAGCACGAGCTTCCTTCTGTGGTCTTGACTGACCGATGCCTCGCTGCGATAAATGCGGCTGCAACCTGGTTTCCTACCTCCAAAGCACTGCTTTGCCTCTGGCATGTCAACAAGGCAGTTCTGCAGTACTGTCAACCTGACTTTGTACAAAAGAGTAGCCAACCGAGCGGTCAAGCAGAAGATGCATGGAACGAATTCTACCGATTTTGGCACTCGATTGTGGATTCGCCAACCGAAGCGGTATATGAAGAGCGGTTGGCCAAATTTGAGGTTAAGTACGCCAAAAGCCACCCCCGGGCGGTTGGGTATATTAAGCTATACTGGCTAGAGCCACACAAGGAGAGAATCATAAAAGCATGGGTAGACAGGCACTTGCATTTTGGCAATGTGGCCACCTCGAGGTAGTTCGCCAGGGCTTGCACCATGATTCAAGGCTAACGTTTGCTCCCTAGGGCCGAAGGAATTCACTCATTGATCAAATCATACATCAAGACATCCACATTCGACCTCTTTGACTCTTGGCAGGCCATGCGGCATGCGATCACCAACCAACTAAAGGAGCTGAATCATATGCGAGCATCTCAGCAGATACGGATGCCTCTAGATGTCTCTGGAGGAATGTTCGAGGCCGTGCATGGTTGGGTGTCACACCAGGCCCTGCGCAGAGTGCAAGAGCAACGGCAGTTACTTTCGGCGCCTCTGAAATCTCCTTGCAGTCAATCTTTCACTTCTTCATACGGACTACCATGCTCTCATACCTTGAAGA